AGTGGTGAAGAGATAGCCATTTCCGTTGCCATCGGCAGCGGTGTTTCCAATGCCGTAGATGAAGTATGGTGTCGTCTGAGAAGCATCAAGGAGAACCTGAACTTCGATGGCAATGTCCTCAACGCCCGACAAGATATTGTTGGGAAGTTTGACAAAATCATCGACACCGTCGAAGGTGAGAGCACCATCCACAATAGTAGCACCGCCATTGATCACAGCGTGGTTACCGTTTCCGGAAGCATCTTGAAGCTGGGTTCCATCAACGGCCGAGAAGTCGTAGCGGAGGATCTCGCCTTCAGCTTCGACTGCTCGGCGTGTGGCCGATGAACCAGTCAAAGAGGCAAGCTCGGCAGCGGTCACAGGGATGACAGTTCCGTGACGCGGGCTGGCCGGCAGGCTGTAGGAAGATGATACGGTCCAGTTGGGGTTGCCAATGTCGGCAGTCTCCAAGGGAATGTAGCCTCGGCCGCCGTACTCATCAACGAAGAGGTAGAACTTCTCACCGTGGACGTCGTCCGGATTCGATTTGAAGGCAGTTGGGCCCTCAACAGCGCTGGTCCCAGCTTTCTTGCCGATGCAAGAGTCGATGATGGTCCACGAGTCCAGGGTAGCGCGCAGAGATGTAGAGCTCTCTTGAATGATATCACTGCATCCCGTACCGCTAGCACCTTCGTCCTTTGTGAATCGGTAGTAGGTATCGGCCGACTTGATGACGGTCGAGTCAATTCTCGACATGCCAGCATCCTGCCAGATAGAAGTCTCGGAAAAGGTTACGAAGTCGCGAGTGGTTGCGTACAGCATGCGGTGGTAGGTGCTGCCAGTGCGGTTGACATCGCTGTCCTCGTAGAGAGACGAAGCCCAGAATACCAGATAGGCACCAAGGTCATCGTCGTAGTAAGCCTCGGGTGCCCATGTGTTTCCTGCCTCAGGAGGGGAAACCAAGACATGCCTCTGTGCTGACCAGGTCTTGAGATCGTTGGATTCCCAGACCTCAAGATACCGACTACCGATGCGAACTGAGTCGCCCCAAGATGTGCCTGAACCGATGGAGAGATCGGTCGCAATGAGGTAGAAAGTATCGCCCTCGGGTGATCTGATGAGGAATGGGTCGCGCAGGCCCTTGGTGCCGTATGTTGAGGTCAAGACGGGCTGACCTCCGTTAAGCTCAGTCCACTTCAGGGCGTCGTTGCCTTGACTAGCGGCGAAGTAGATCTTCTCTCCAGCAATGGAGTTTCCGGTGAAGTAAGAGAATGCGTAGCCCGCAAAGGGATCAAGGGCCACGGCTTTGCGGACGGAAGCGACAAGCTCTCGAGTCTGAGAGCTGCCTTCGTAGTCGATGGAAGCGGTGAGGGCCACTTGGGTATCCTCGGCCTGTCTTACGACAACACCACTGCTTGAGATGACCGAGGAGTTGCTTGCCCAGGTGACATTGAGGCCGTCAATGGTGGAGGGTAGGTACAGGTTGCCACGGACATCGTCAAGGTTGGTAACGGTGATAGCGGCAAGAGCTGCCTCAACCTTTGCGGTGTTGTCGTCTTGGCCTCTCACAGTCGCCGCGAGGGCGAGTGCAGAGGAGAGCCAGAAGTGAAGCGACTGCATGACTGGGATTGCTCAGAGAGCCACAAATCGTCACCTTGAACACCAAGCCAGAACATGTATCATAGGATCTCCTTCTCACTTTATATATGTAGCATTCCTGTAGTCCGGCCCCGACATACGCAGGAGCGGGATGATCTCCCACATCGCTGGGTCAGGACAAGACAAACCGTCCGAGACTTTGGCCGGCCGGCTTGGGTAGCACTGCGATGGATATTGCGCCCATAAACAGCCCAATGGCCGATCATTGCCTCTTGCTATTACGCAAGCCTCATGCTAGCAATGGAAGATTTGCAAGTTCACTTGTGAGGAGCAAGCGCAGCAGTAAAGGCAAAGCGTCGTGGAACGGTTACACCGAAAGCCCAACGGGAACTTGCGGTAGTCACATTAGCTACCCCGAATACCCCTGTCTCTCCGCACTTTGAATACCCCACAATCTCCAAAGACAACCGGTGATGATGCGCATCCCGGCTGTTGATGGCTGGTTTGCGGGGAAGTCGCAGCCGGTGAGGAGACTAGGACACGATGCGCCCGAGTCAGGCAGCCCGGCGGTGCTCAGGTGACTGAGTGAAGATAGAACACATCAAGTCAAACTCTTTGACGACAGACTTCTTGACCTTGAGGTTGACAAGATCTTTCGAGAGAATTGATCTGACTGAAAGCCCTCGCGGCAAGCATGACGTCGGGCTGAGATGTGCCTCTTCTTGTCTCCAAATCGGGCGTAGTTATCACAAGCATGGTGCCCTTGATCGTGGTGGTACCTGTCATGGAGAATCTCCTAGATGCGGTCAGATTCTTTCACGTGCCTCCAGGGATGGTGCAATAACAACTCGTATTTTACCGGCAATAGTGGCATGGTCTGCTGGGTAGGGGGGAGAAAGTTGGAAACGGACGATGGCTGGGTGATTTGAGCAGGGGAAAGCTGTTCGTGACATCGCAGAAATGATGTACCGAGGCAAAGTTACCACGCGCTCGAATCAAATTGCACCCGACGTTACGATTTAGGCAAGTCGCCGCCCCGCAAAGCGTCCAAACCTTGACTTAGAGTTCCTGTCACCAGGCAGCGCTCGGGCCGAAGCTGCGCGATGTTATCATCAGACCAAATGAAGTCTGAGTTATTTTCTCACAACCAAGAAAGCCTTGGAGCCTTGCCTGAAAGCTTTCCTCTGCCAAGTAGACCCTTGATCGTAGCAAAGACACGCAGAAGATTGACAACAAAGTCAGACCCAATGGGTCTTCTCATATCCAGGGATCAAGCACTTCACGTCCATACTTGAGCAGAATCCTGCCTCTGAAGAGTGTCTCGAGTATTAATTTTCACTAATACGTAGTGCAATCTCTCGTAAAGAGTCCAAGTGTGAGGTCAGCTCGATAACGAAATCCAGTGGCATATAGCTAATGATAAGTCAAAAGCGACGGGCGTTCTCGTTCTTAGTCACTAAAAATGATCGAGAGTGGCGTGGAATTGACAGAGCGTTAGAGGTGACCAGTAGCAGACAAGATGGTCATTTTTTGTCGAAGTCACTTGCCTGACTAGGAAGCTTCCGACGGAAAGCTGTAAGAGCAGAAGTAGGACACAATGAAGAAGGAAGCCCCGTTCGCATTTTCTGAGAAGAAGTAGTTATAAAGTGACATTGGAATGACTTCTGGTGAGGTGATGACACCACAGCCACACACACATCTTCGCCATCGTTTCCATATTTATCAAGGGAAAGGGTCCTCCAAATCCCATGAGACATCAACTAATCACAGTAACTTCCACTGTCACAACATCCACTGTCATAACATCCCCCTCCACTAGTGTCGAACGTAGTCATCATCAACCACGGTGTTGGATCGTATTTGTATGTCGAGCTCGATGGTCTATAAGCAACACTTCGTTCTCCCCGTCTAGCATCGCGAGCTTCCACCTTAGCTTTCTTTGCTTTGGCCTTCTTCGGTGCCTTTGCTTCTTTCTTGATCGTGGCTTCTTGGCGCTGCTCTTGTTTCTCGGTCGGAAGGCTTTTCTTCGGATGGACCAAAGTTCTGAGGCTTTTAATCAAAGCTTTGAGCCTGACAAAGCCTTGAGTCTCTTGAGTGATGGTTTCTCTAGGCGGCATGACGAAAATCGGAGGGGTTACTGAGAGCTCGAAATGAGTGGATCTTGGAATAGAAGTTTCGGATATATTCGTTTGATATGGCTCTGGAGTTCGGTCTACGATGAGGTTGACGAGGTTTGATGGCGTTAATGATGGAGTTGATGGTATTGATGATGAGGTTGATGATGAGGTTGATGTGTTCAAGTTTATTCGCCATCTACCTTACGTGTCATTTTATATACAAGAAAGGATGGCCATCGTTGAGTAATCCATCGACAATGTCATCACTTCGGCACGTCCGCTTGACGATATCTAAAAGGTGCTTGATATTTTATCACCTGATGGTGATGTGGTCGGTGAGGTTCTAGACATAGAGGTTGCGTAGTGATGTTGTTCGGCAATGGCCGATAGGTTCAGATCAACCCCAGCGTCACGGACATTTTGAAATCCTGGAATTAGATAGGTTTCCGTTGAAAGAACAGGTGCTTCCGGCCACTGGAACTATGCACTATTCAACGCATGATCTGAGGCTAGAAGATCGTATATTTCATGCTGAACTACCTAAGTGATTATCATGCTCATTGGGGAAAGTCGAGGATGTCGTGGTGCAGTGGAATTAATCAACTATTACATCATGTTCGCTCGGGGTAAGAGGGTGGAACCAAGATTATCACCACGATTCTTACGACTGTTTTCAAGAGATAAACGATGTAAAAACACATCAGCGACGCATAGTACCGAATTCATTGGTCTTAAGGTCAGTGGTGATCAGACTGGTATTATACGCTGAACTCTGATTAAAGGCATTACTTCTACAAAAGTGACAAGAAACTAAGACTTTCAAATCGCATCGAAGGTTTGTCTTTAGAAGTGGACATGAATGAGAGTCCTGAGAGAACATCAGGTAGACGAGATATGGGTGTTTGTTTACTTACTTTTGTGAGTGACGTAGGCCCTCTCGATCCAATACGCATCATGCGGCGAGATTCTGCCCGCGTTCATGCAGGTCATATGATTAAATACCATGATGAGTGCTTCTAAAAACACGTGCACATATTTTCAATCTTCAAGGTTCTCATTTCATTCATCGGACTGCTACATTGTGTAATGTACCCAAGGTAGGCGAACATGATCGTTCCTCATTCAACGTCAAGCTAAATATGTGCGCAGCGACCACAGGCCGCAATATGAGATGATATGTACAAGAACATCTGGCCAAAGGTTCTGACTTGAGAATAAGATACGGTCCAGGGTTGATGTTGGGCCCGAGGACCCGTGTGGTTGCTCGGCGATGCCGTGCGGCTTGCGATGAATCGTAGAGGTATCTTATCCGGAGCAGGCACCTGCCTTGACGGGCTCGCAGCCGCCGGCACATCCGGTGTACATCTGGCACGGGGTCTTGGCGTCGGTGCAGACGTTCTTGAGGGTGGCAGTGTCGCCGTAGTTGGAGTTGATGCCAACAACTTCGCCTCCGTTGCGGGCGGTAGTGCCCTCGACGTAGACGTTGCGCTTGCACTGACTGCTGCACTGATTTGGAGAGACTCGAGTCAGCATAACTAATCCAGTAGATCATGAGACTAGACAGCAAAAGACTTACGTTGCCGCAAGAGCGATAGACCTTGCCATAGCTTTTCAGTGTTAGTTTGGTTTCACCTAGATAATACACGAAGATCACTCACTCGTTCGCGTCTGTGTTACACAATTTTTGTTAGCTATGTATCCCAATAAATCCAATAGAGCACTGCTTCAGAATAACTCACAGAAGTTGATAATGTTCACGGTGCCGCAACCGTTGTGTTGAACAATCTTATCGCTGGCCTTGTAGGCGCCACCACCGATGATCCAGGTGTGGTCGCCAGCCTTATCGTTCTTCTGCACCGGGTGTCAACTATGCTATTCAAAGAGATTTGTTCACTGCTCAACTCATTACTTACAACAGTGATGGCATCCTCACAAACATCCTCGAACCATACAAACTCGAGAGTGCAAGGACCGTCGCAGTGAACGCCCTCCTTCTGGTTCTTGCCAATAATGGCATTCTTCAGAGTTGCGCCCTTGCGGAGAATGAAGACGGCATCAGCATCGCCTAGGCGGCTTTGTCAGTTCCCAACTAAGGCTTATCACGGTGTAAGACAGATAGCATACCTCCTTCACCACTGGTACAAGCACCAGAACCACGGTCGAACCTAGCCCAACCACCGTCGTAGACAGTGCCAGCGGGAACCTCAATGTACTTGCTGTTGGTCTTTGTGGAAGTCGCAGTGGGAACACCGCCCTCGTATCCGAGACAAGCGAGGGTGCTGGGCACGGTCGCCAGCAAAGCTACGATGCTAGCCTTGGAGAAGTACATGATGGCTAAAACCTGGTTGATCACAATGCTGGAAGGCGGGAGTATAGCCAATCGTAATGAGAATGGAATGTCCTTGCTCAGTTAAAATGATAAGACTCTACCCAAAATGACAACACCGGACGATGAGCTCGCATTATATAGAAGACTCAAGCCAATTCTTCTTTGCCAACTCTCGCAGATTCCGAGTCAAGACAAACAAACAAGCTTAAGATATTATGCATACTCGATTGGTGGACTTATGGTGGAGGATTCTGACTCCTTGACGCCTCATGAACTGGATCCAAGATACTGTCCGAATCCTACGCTGAGAAGAACACACAATAAACAAAAACAGGAGATTTTATAGGCGATCCAATCATGTTTGAAATTCGACGAGAAACTGTTGCGAATTCAAGGCTCAGAGATATGGCTGAGGGGGTAAGCCAAAGGGGCGCACGCGAAATAGGAAGGACTCTGGAGCTATTTCCCCTTCAATGGTAGTTTGTAGCAGCTGGCCCTTGTTTCGTGTGGTATTATAAAGCATTCAACTTGCGTTGCCAAGATCTAATCAGGATCCTGCCATGGCATTTTGTCAAAGGTCACATTATCTGCTTGATAGTGCCAAGAACAGCCATGTGGACGGAGAAATTGCCTACTACCGTGCGCCCCGGTCCGGGTCCCCGGTCCTGCAGATTTCCCCCAGTCAGAGCTCCTCAAAAACTGTTCCGTCCGGAGCTCTTTACTGGGGCCGTATCGCGGGCATGTCACCGCAACCCATCGGGGCACTCAGGAACCCCGCCATTGAGCAGCCTTTGGTGACTGGACCATCGCTCTCAAGCAGGGGCTTGTTCGCCTAAACTGCCCATATTGTGATGTGGCGCCCGAACACTTGCATAATGTGCCTAGTCAGGTGAAGTAGGTTAACTGCGAGGCGCAAGTTTCTTCTTTATCATCCATCATTGGGAGTTCTCAGACGTGGAGAAGCCATCAACCCAATGGTCACCAACTGTGGCGCTTGTTTCATGCACTCCGCTCGGGGTTGATAAGTGCCGGCAGATATTGGTTGCACCAACGGCGGGCCTGTGGGATCGAAAAGTGGCGTCGGATGCTGAGCGGTTAAGCCCTCCTCTCATCCACCTCCACGAGAGTATCGAGGTCGGATTCAAATGGTACGCAAGTCAACTTAAGTGGGAGAAGGGCGTCTTTGCAGTGTATGGGCCGGAAAGTTTCTATGCGGACACTACATCAAAACAGTGGTTCAATTCTTCATGGTTGCAATGTTTTCACAAACACCGTGCTGACATATCCTTCGCTTTCACTTGGTTCCGTCGCTTTTGGGTCCCAACGAAGTGTCATATTTCGAGTTTCTTTTAATATGGCCACTGCTATCTGCTCATGACCAGGGCCACCAAACCCAGCCAATCACCATCTTGACGAAACCTGATTCTGCTGCAATCTCAGCACGTCTCGACTCCCATAAGTCTTGAATCGGCTGTGCCAACCGCCGAGGAAAGACTTCATGAAGCTCAGCCGCGCTCGTCAGACATGAAGGGTGAGCTCTGTGCTGAAGCAGAGCCATTGCCACCTGTGCTAATAGTTCAAGATAGGTTAAAGACGTTTCAACTGGATTGTCCGACCCCTCGGCCAGTAAAGATCGTCTCAGCTCCGCAATGTTCGGAGGAGCAGTCATCCCGCGGATGTTAGCGAAGAAGATCTTGGATATCGTGCTTCCTTGGTATGGCGCATTACAGTTTGCGTCATGCCGTAATAGCTTTCTCAGCATACTGACGTACACGTCTGATACCCTCTTCTCCAACAATGGCTGCTTGGACAGATGAAATAGCCCATCCACAAACTTGCCCCATCTAGCCTCTGTGGCTGAAGTTTCATTGACCTCGGCACCGTGGCTAATGAGGTGATCCAGAATACGTTTCTGCCTGGTGGCCCACAGGTAATCCATTTCAGGCTCTACCATGGACAGACTGAGAATCTCCAACCAGTCGCCCCATATAGAGCCTTTCGGATTGGTGAGAAAGTCTTTAGGTCCCATCTGATATGCACCCCGTACTCCCGCTCCATGGCCATTTTTATCTCCACGATGATGAGTCTGAGATGTTTGAAACATCAAGGACGTGTAGTAATTGGACCTGGCTAGGTCATTCCAAGTCTCTCTCTTGACTTCCCGTGCCCAAGCGCCTTGGTGAGGGCTCGAGCCTCGGCGAAGGAACAAGGATACGACTTGAGTGAGATCTGGGCTGTTCTCATTGATGGGTTTGAGGCTTTCCATGATTGCCTCTCTCAGGAAGGCACCGTTAATGATGTCCCGCGCCCCAGGGCTGCATTCCCTGTGCTGCGAGAGATACTGAGTCAACCCTCGAGAAATGGCGAATTCGACAAAACAGTCGGGTGTCCATGGAATCTCCGCGTCGAGTGAGTCAGCCGCGTCCTCCACGACGTAGCGCAGATCATCCACCAACTCAGATTCAGATGAGCCCGATTCCGCCTCGGCTCGATAAGCGTAGAAGAAAGCTTCTTCTAGTGCCCGAGAAAGCACTCCAGAACGCTGGAAGTGTTCTTTTCGGATGGGCATAAACTTGATCAGTGCAACGTACGCTCTGAAGATAACCGTATTCGGTTTGAATTCCGCGAGGCTCTCAGTGAGAAACTCGGTCATTTCTTTTGTAAGAAGAAAGTCACGGACTGTGCGGTGAAGAAAGGTCACTCGCGGACCCAGGTAATCGCTCGCCGCATGATCAGCTTGAATCTCAAGCAGGCCCTTACTGCGACCGTCGAGCCGGCGAATCATTTGCTTTCGCCTGGTGAACACATCATGCTTGTCCATTGGTTCAACAGGAAGACGTAAGACCTGCGAGAGGTCCTGCGTGCAATAGTCTATCAGGGAATAAAGCATAATGTTAAGCGGTTCTTCGGCCTGTAACGCAATGTGGAACATCTGCGCCATTTGGGAGTGGTAAAACGGGTCGATGGATTTGAGGATGTGCTTGAAAAAGGTCTCGAGATCTTGGGGAAGTTGGCTTACACGTCGTCGTAGGGTTGAAACAGCATCGCCGTTGGTTACACTTTCGTGGACTGAACGGACAACCAGAAATACCCATAAGAATACCCCCTGGGCCTTTTTAGTAATCTCTTCCACGAGCGAGTGTTCAGCTTTCGAGTATTCTCTCCAGTTGGGGTGTTCTTTGAGCATACTCTCTGTGTAGCGTCGGATGTCATCTTGAGTCAAGTCCTGGAGAGCTAATTTCCACAAGCTCGACTTGCCATAAGCGTCTTCAAACACATTCCATGGTCGGCTTGATACACAAAGCTTGACATTTGGCGACGACGCAAGCCGGGCAAGGATCTGGATGAGTTTCTGATGGTCTCCGTCGTACTCATCCAGCCCATCGATAAAAAAGCAGAAGCGCAAGTCCAACTTGTCGCAGTCGACCAAGTGATTCACTATTCGTTCCAGCTCGAAGATTGACCAGTCCCGGCCATCCTCGCCGGATTGAAGACGGTACTCGTTTTGTCCAGGCCCCTCGGGCACGACATTTTCGATTAGATCAGGCATTTGGCGGAAAATTTCGTAAAGCAGTGATCTCAGCAACCCATTAATGGACTTTTGCAGCAGCGTGCCGGCGCTCCAGAAGTAATGGCTCGCGACGATACACTCCTGGGGTTCAGCCCAAGCGCAGAGAAGCTCTGATGTGCGCGAGTGGTTTCCAAGATACTTCATCAGAGTAGACTTGCCGGAGCCTGCTTTGCCAGATATCCAATAAATGCCCTTGCCTCGTTCGAGCCAGTCTGTGAAATTGCTGACGTGAATCGCTACCGCTCCCTGCGAGCCTTCACGGCCGAAAACCCATTTGAATGTCTTTTTGTGCGCCTCAGCTATGCCATAGTGACGAGCCGGCATTGATCGAAAGTACAGACCCCGAAGGAATGTGTGCTGGAAGGAAACGTCTCTTGCATTGGTGGTTAGGCTCAACAGCTTAACGTGTAGTTGATGAAAGTATTGATGAGAAAATATACTATCGTCTGACGGAAGCTCGTTCGAAATGGAAGACTTGAATGTGATGCTTTGGATAGCTGCGGAAATTTCTTCGAGCTTCTCTGAGTGATTTGATTGCATCGATAGAGTGGCTTCCTTCAGCTTCCCAAGCTCGCGCAGTACACTCGATTGTTGGTTACTGTGCTCCGCTGTGAGTGATGTTCGGTGGGAAAGCAGTACAAACAGAACGCTAAAGACATGGGCTCACCTCGTGATGGCGACAAGATGTGTCATAAGTTCCTGTCGATATTCCTTGAGCCTCGCCTCCACATCGTCGACCTTACGCTTGCCCCAAGACGCCCTCAAGGCTTGTTTCAAACTCGCAACACGCCCGCCGGGCGTGCCGTATAAGCTCTTTAGAAGGCTTTGTAGCTCTAACGCTGTGCTCCGGCACTTTTCTGCAAGTTTCCACAGTGCCACCTCTGCGTCGATCCTCTGTCTCGGCTCGCCTTCAAGGTCTGCGGCATTGTCAATGTCGTCCACCAGGAAACGGAGGTCTGAGCAGATCTCATCCAAGGTCTGGTGCTCCTTCGTACGCCCATCGGCCGATACGTATATCTCACGGCTGGTGGAAACCAGCTTCGCACCGAACTCTACGAATTGTATAATGGCGGCCGCTAAACCAAGCGCTGTGAATGGATCCATTGAATACGACTTCTGATGAACCAAGAATTTTGTTTCGACTTCAGGACCTTACGGCATAAAGAGCGGGGTGATTGTCAGATTTCTACTCACCTCGTCACGCGAGCAGACGAGGCTGCCCCTGGCTGCCTCCATATGGCACACCAAAGTGTGCATCCGCCTAGGCGACCTCAGATACCATCCATTCTCATGTCTTATCGGCCTTTGCTCCAAAGGGTATAAGACGGCAAAGCTTCAATTGGATGAATAAACCAGCGTCTCTGTCTGATTGGCATTTACCCCGCACAGCTTGTACCCTGGACATGCTGCGGCCGATGAGATAGGTATGTATGCGTGCAAGTCGACGTTGGGTAAGCGTCAGTCACAGACTTGTGCCCAAGCAATTATTTACATGCAAGTCGGCTTTTATGTCATCTTAGTACACGTCGGGCTTGATTTTCTCCAAAGGATCAAAGCCTGTAAAATCTAAGCCTCTGCCTTATGTTCATTGTTTCGCCAGGTTGGACACATCATTTCAAGTAAAGCCATCTGATACTTACCTTCAAGCTTTGATACCTGACAGTGGGTTGGCTGATAAATGAACGTCTCTGGTTTTTTTCCATCCCTTTCAATGTTCCTGAGCCTGAGCACCCAGGAGGTGAAACACCTGGGCCTTTTCGTTGTGAGTCTGAAAGAAGATGCAGCCAGATGTGTTAAACCTCATGGCAATCTACTGCACGCGTCCAAAGAGTATCAAGAAGACTAAGTATTAACATATCCGCTCATGTGTTTTAGTTCACCCATTTCCACATGGCTGGTTTACTTTCGGTCAGGACAATCACGTCATTGTACTCGGCTTACCTGATCATGCTGACATTGCACAAGATGTCGAAGGATGGCTGCGCTAAAGCGCGCCCTTCCAAAGTCCCAAAATGACCTCGAATTACTAATATGAGCTTAATGAAGTGAAATTGTCCTAAAAGCGACTGGGATCCAAAGACTTCATAATTCAAGGTTCCTGCCAAGCAAAGCTTGTTTCTTCGGCCATGGCTTCCCACTACCCCCAAGGGTACCTAAACCAATTCCTACCAACCATCATGTCTCAGCAACCTACCAAGATCAAGGCAGTCTTCTTCGACTTCATGGGAACTTGCCTCAACTGGCACGCCAGTGTAGTCGAAGCCTTACCCGCCACCATCCCAAAGGAAGAAGCGTCAAAGTTCGCGCTCGAATGGCGCAGACAATACTTTATCGAGATTGCAAACCGGCATGCGCTGGGTCTTGAGCCTGAGGATATTGACATTACGTTCGCGCGGGTCCTTGACAACCTGTTGGACCAGTCTCCTGTTTACGTCAGTCACTTCAGCCCCGAGATCAAGACCAAGTTGATAAAAGCATGGCACTCGCAGCCTGCCTGGCCGGAAGTTTCCAAGGCAATTGAGAGCCTGCGGAACGACCTCGGCCTTGAAGTGTTTGTGCATGCCAACGGCACGACTCGCTTGCAGCTTGACCTCGTCCGTTTTTCAGGGCTGAGCTTCAACATGCTCTTTTCCAGTCAGCTTCTGGGTGTCTACAAGCCTAGCCCCATTGCGTATGAAAAGGCATTGCAGCTTGTCAAGCTCAAGCCTGAGGAAGTGGTGTTGGTTGCAGCGCACGCATATGATTTGCGAGGGGCGCAGAAGGTTGGGTTGAGGACTATCTATGTTCATCGATGGACTGATGATGTCGATGAGGATATGGCAAAGGTTCGGTCCGAGTTTGACGTATTCCTGGAAGACATGACGGACTTGCCCAAGGCAGTTGGGAACTTGTGATTCAGGAGTCGGATATGCCCGTATACCTTCACCTAGATTATGTTTAACATCATTTAATGAAATCTCTCTATGTTTCTCAGCAAGAACGATGCTCAGTTCAGGTGAGAAGATATGGATCTAATTAGTGCAGCTGAGACAGTTCTATCGGGCCTCACTGATACAAGCGGTGTCCCTTAAACTGCTGGATTGGCGACAACATCCGCAATAACAGTGTCCAAATCCTCATCCTCTAGCCCCAAAGACTTCATGGCAAAGTCATCGCGCTTCGTCCAGTTTGCATCTAATTGCCCGACAGCGAAGACAAGGTCCTCAATCGCCTCAGCGTCACCCGCATCGGCCTTGACCTTGTGTTCCGCGATGAAGCTCTCAGATTTGACCTTGTTGACAGTCCACTTGGCCCCCGTCGCCTTCTCCAAACTCTGAAGCAGCTCGTTCTGCGTGATGCAAAAGCTCTGAATGAAAAGCGTCTTATTCTTCGTCACCTCGGTAACGCCCAAGTTGAGAATACGCACAACAGCCTCGCCGACCCTCGGCAGTGTCGCGACAGAGGCCTTGATATCGCCGCCGTCAATGACGTCGATCTTCTTGGTGTCGAGGTACGCGTGCAAGAAACCCTCCTTGACACCCCAGTCGAAAAAGTGCCCGCAGACAATACCCGTCCACGCGAAATCCGGGTTCTTGTCCGCCAGTTCCTGCGCCTTTTGACGCACGGCGCGCTTCCAGCGGTACAGCGGGATGAGCTCCCTCGCGCGGGGGTTATCGGCGTCGATGCTGCCGAAGTCGGCGGGCATAAAGTGCTTCACGCCCGCCGCGGACGCCGCCTCGGCGATGCGCAGGTGCTGGTCGAGATCCCGCAGGCGGAAGCTGACGATGACGACTTCTTGGCCGGTAAATGCCTTTTTGAGACCCTCATAGGAGAGGTCGTTGTCGATTTCAATAACTTGAACTTGGTCTGCGGGGTACGCGATGGTGCTCTTGGAGCCGGCGCGCTTCAGGGCGCTGAGCTTGAAGGATTTGGCGGCCACCAGGGAGTCTAGGATTTTGGCGCCTAGCGTGCCATTGGCGCCGACGAGGAGAACGGATTTCGGTGCCATGTTCAAAGGTAAGTTGTGTATGTTATTTCCGTAGGTAGTTGAACTTGAGAGAAGAATGGCCGTTTCTTTGTTTGTTTCGTCAATAAATGATACTCCGATTTCAGATCAGGTACGCCGTACTCGAACTCAAGATGGACAGCTTGGGGGGACATTAGGCGACTCCAGCACTGACTCACGTCATTCAGCAGCGTTCGGGATAGCTTACCGAGTTCCTTCAGTCTGCCGTCGGGGTGGGGTCCGTAGGGGGCCGGTCTAGGCGGGACATTGAGCAGAACATTCGCTGTGTCTTCCTAACAGAGAAGGTTATCGCGGTTCTTAGCGTTCGCAGCCAAGTTCTGTTAGTGCTCGGTGTGCTCAACCTCATCTCACGCAAGACCCCTCATTAAGATTGAGAACCCCAACGGGGTTAAAGATGTCCAAATCGGGACCCTCCCGGCTCCGGGCAACGTAAGATCCACTCACGCCGGGCCGGAGGACGCAGTTAAAGATCATTGACGTTGAGATCTATGTCGTCGCGACTTCGCGTTTATATACTCTGCTTTGAAAGATGCCCAGGGGTTTTTGGCGCCATTTTCCACATGATTTCCCCGCAATCTAACCATCTGTCGTATAAAACTCTCCGTCAAGCCTAACTCCGGGCGCGTTGGCTAGGGCTCAAGCTGTCTCAGGCTGGAAACATGCTGCTATGCGGAGGCAATAAAAGGGCTGGAAGTCTACTTGCTTTTTGGACACCTTCTCATTGTTCTACATACAGTCCCATTATACCAATAAACCAAGTCGTCTAAAGTACATTAGTAGCCATGTCTTCCAAGCGTATCATCCTCATCACCGGAGCCAACACCGGTATTGGCTACGAAACAGTCAAGATCCTGCTGCAATCCGACAGAGCATACCACATCATTATTGGATCAAGGTCACTCGAAAAAGGCAATTCTGCCCTTGCTGAACTCGCAAAGGAGTTCCCATCCACTGCAAGCTCGTTGGAGGTCATCCAAGTGGATGTAGCCGATGATGATTCAATCATTGGCGCTTTCAAGAGTATCAAAAAAGAGCATGGGCTGCTCGATGTCCTGATTAACAACGCCGGTACGTCTTCATCCCAGGAGAATCGCGAGCCTAGACCAAGTCTGACAGATAACTTGTAGGCGCCTCCCATGATTTCGGGCCTCACAATTACAACCCCGAGGATATCAAAGCGATTCGCCAGAATATGAACAAGTCATACGACGTCAACACATCCGGAACACACGTCATGACCCACGCTTTTGCACCTCTGCTCATCAAATCCTCCGACCCCCGTCTTCTCTTCGTCACCAGCGGACTATCCACTCTCAATGGCATCGAAAGCGCCGGCCTGCTGCCGTTCCAGCCAGGGACCGTAACGGCTGCCGGCTGGCCCAAGCCTTATACCCCTCAAGCCGGGTACCGGTCTAGTAAGACCGCGCTGAACATGGTCATGCAGAACTGGCACTGGCTTCTCAAGGCAGACGGGGTTAAGGTGTGGTGCATCTCCCCCGGTTTCCTGGCTACGGGGTTGGGAGGAAATCCGGATGCGCTGAAGAAGATGGGTGCGGGTGCGCCGAGCCAGGGAGCCAGGCTAATTCAACAGGTTGTTGAGGGTGAGCGGGATGCTGATGTTGGCAAGGTTGTCAACAAGGACGGTATCCAACCTTGGTAGCCGGACAAGTTGGCTGATAACAGAGACTCAGGGTCTGAAAATCATATTATATAAGCAAGGCTTCTTTCTAGAGAACTATAGGAATGTCTTGACATGAGAATCAGTACGCCAGCCAAAGATCGGCATATCAATGTTGATTCAATCACTTGTAGTCGTTCTCCTCCCAAGCAAGTTGATCCACAATCTGCTCGACCCGTTAAAGCGGTCGCGGCGGCTCGAAATAGTCGCTGTCCATTGCTTCGGCGATCCAATGGTTATCTTCCCGAGTCTCTTTGCGGAAGAATGATCCAACGACAGCGTCCTCTGCATCTTGGAGATATTCGAACTCTGCCGTGCCCGCTGACGGCCGCCATATCTTGATGCCATGGCCGTGCAGTCTCATGTAGGTCAAGTGCTTGCACTTTGCGGCGACGATCTCTGGCTTGAGGTATTCCACTTTCTTAAATCTTTGAAGGGGGTCTCCCCCGTGCCCTCTGTTGGTTTTGAACTTGGGGTACTCTATGGAAAGCTTTTTCAAGCCCTCCATGTTCGCAAGGATGTCAATCAGGCCGTAAGGTGCCACCGTGGTGTCGATGGTGAAGCCGATGGAGGTGATCCAGTGGCAGGACTCTAGGACTTTGAACATGTCCCAGTTGTCAGGTGCATCCTTTCCGTTTCCAATCCAGGTCTGTGGTATGATGAGCTCTTTAGCTCTCAAGACCATCTCATTGTTGAGCATGTTGGGGAGGCCTGCATCATAGTTTGGGTCGAAGATGAATGTTTGAGGGTCCACGCGGAGACTGAGTTGGCTTGCGTATTCTTCGTCTAGCTCTTCAAAGCAATGCTCAATGCCTGCTTCCCATGCCCCGATGGTGAGTTGGCGGAGATTCGGCATTGTGCTCGGGTCAATGGCGTAGAATGCGAGCTCCGGGGCATCCGGTGGGCTATTCCCTCGCATGACGGCACTCTGGTTGAAGAGTCGGAGTTCTTGCAAATGGCTCAAGTCGGTTAGTTTGTCGAGATAATCAAACCCGCCATCCTCGTCTTCGCAAAGAAGGACGGGATAGTATAATTTGAGAGATTTGAGGCGGAGGGGAGGGTGACCAAGATCTCCATAGCGATTTCCCAAATTCATGAGAAAGTCGTAAAGCTCATCACGATCGTCTACATTAGCAAAGCTATCCGCCGTCGGTCGAGAAAGAGACAGGCTCAAATCAGTGAGCTTTGGGGAGGAGCCCAGGATACAGGCTAGGGTTTCTATCCACTTTGAGATTGGCCCCTGAAGCCCAGTTAGGTGAAGTCCGGCCAGGCCCGAGAAGACGTTGAAGTCGGCAATGCTGTACTTCAAGTCATCGGGAACAGGCATGATAGGCTCCGGGTCTCGCCAAGAGTCATCGTCGCGACAGTACCTGTCAGCGCCGGGCTCATGTGGGTGGGCTTCCAAATCGAAGGAGATGTCTTCCAAGTCGGGGCAGCAGTGCTTCAGAGCCTTTAAGGTTGCGGAGGAGAGGAAGAATTCTCCGTCTTCCAAGCTTGAAACGGCCGTTAGCGTGCAATCCTACAGGGTTGAGAGTAGTGCCTTGAGTGCTAAAGGTGTGACGAACACAAATCTCTTGACATTTGGGGTGTTTGCCAACAGTCGTCTGAGCTGGGAGTTGCAATTTCGAACATGGTCGTCGAGTTCCATCTCACGGCTGTTCCATTCGAAGCCCTTGGGTCGGAAGTGGATGACTTTTATGTGGCGGGTTTCTGGAGATTCCTTGACAAGCCATTTCTGTGGAGGGTCGTCCGTGACAAAGTGATTGTAGCCCAGATAGACCTCGGCGTACAGGAACTCACTGAAAGCATCTCGGAATGCTTTGTTGACGCGACACAAAGCCCTCAGTGTCTTTTTGTTGGTCGCCTGTTGGTACCATAACAGTACTGGTTATTAGACCACATCCGAAAGATGTTCCACGTGTGTAGGTTCGAAATGTTGACTTGCAAGGTATTGTCCGATGATGCGCAACAACTCTGGCGCGAGCGATACCATACTGGCCGATTCCACAGGCTTATGAGTTCGCTTTTGTAAATGAAAAGACGTCCGAATACTTTGCAATGGCTCCAAAGAAGGAAGTTATTGGGGTTATTCGCAGATGATGTTGAGGGAGTAGGATTGTCGCGTCTGGATGGCTTGCAAAGTACACCACATGTCCCGGTTACGTAAGGTGAGGTCGTGTTTGTGGGTTTATTGTGTAAACTCAAAAGGCGACTAGGAGATTGCTTTTAGACAATCACTACTAAAAAAAGAAAGGCAATTCAGAATATCACTTTTCCTCCAGTGTCTGTTAATATACTTTCTTGGAATACTCGGTCGATAAGTTTGTGCTTACAGCCCCTTTTTCGGTGACTCTCCATGTTGAAGATACATGACAATGTACCTTCAGTCTGATGACGGGAGTCTCTAAGGCAGGCACGAAGCACAAGGTAAGGTACCTGCCTGAAGGTTATGGTCGGCAAGAAGCACCCGGGAAGCACAGCGAGGCAGGTGGATTGTTAGCGGAGGAAGGCACGCAGTGGCAGGCAATTAACTACCTTACCTAGGTAGGTACCCAGATACCTAGGGGACAACCTCCCGGCAGTCCGCCAACCACCAGCCAACGTATCTGCAATTTCACCACACCCAACACCATTCGTTTGCAGTACGGAATACACAATCCTTGGTCAACATCAATTTGAACGGTATTAACGCCAACGTATCTGTCCATACAATGACGACCCTCACGGATGTTTTCCAAATGGAACCCGCCCCGGGGTACGAGCACACGCACACCGTCATTCTCCTCCATGGTAGAGGCAGTGACGGCAAAGAATTTGCAGATGAGTTCTTTGAATGCGAAGTCTCGGAAAACCTGGCACGAACAATGGCTCTCTTGGCCCGCCAAGTTGATGGTCCTGAACAACCACAAGACCCCCTGGACGACACACCAGCGCCACCACCCCCTCGAACCCTACAAGCCCTGTACCCAACCTTCAAATGGGTCTTCCCCAGCGCACCGTCGATCCCATCAAAACGTTACAAAACGGACAGGACCCAATGGTTCGATATGTGGTCTACAGAGAACCCAAACGAGCAAGAAGAATTGCAAGAACCGAACCTGTCTGAAAGCATCGACTTCATCAACCGCCTCATCGACCAGGAATCCCACGTAGTGGCACCCGACAAGATCTTCCTGGGCGGCATCAGCCAGGGATTCGCGACAGCTGTCGCGGCCTATTTGACAGGTTGTAAAGCCTTGGGCGGCCTTATTGGCTACGCTAGCTGGGCCTACCCAGGCCTTTCGCCCTACGAAGTCCCTACCGGTCCTTTCGCCAGCGATGATGGCAAGTGGAAGATAAAGTGTGGTGATGTGAACTACCAGATGGCACGCACGCCAATTTTCCTTTCCCACGCCCGCGACGATCCAACGGTTCCGGTGAAGAACGGAAGAGCCCTATGCAAGGCCCTACACAACATTGGCTTGAAAGAAGTCCAATGGCACGAATACGAATATGGCGGCCACTGGATCACCGAGCCTGATAGCATAGATCACCTCGTCTACTTTATTAACCGCAATCTGGGCCCCTGGGGGGTGACTCAATTTGAAGAGCAAGCTGGTCAAGGGAGATGATGTTATAGAGGGACGGAGAGGAGAAAAGTCTTGATTGGAAACAAGCGAACAGCGACATACCCCAGGTCTTATTCACGCCGGAATCAGTTCACGGTTGGAAGCAGGAAGCGTATCAAACATTGTATTATAGGTAATTCGTAATCGACAACTTGTAGCAAAACGAGTAGAGCATACAAAACAAGGGTATTGAAAGGAGATGTCTATGTGAAGCCAAGCAGAAACATGGCGAGAAGCGAAGCAAAACAACAGCCTAGTGGTGATTAGTAGGTGACCGTTGCGACTTTGGCAACATATTTGTCGTCCCCATCCTTTTGCAAGATGTTGTCAAACATCCACTTGCCAACGTCTTCGCGGGCAATGCTGTACCCAATGGCCAGTTCCTCAACACCCTTGACGGGGTCCTCGACGCCCACCCGGACTGCGCCCGCGGGCTGCTCCTTTCCGTTGGTCAGGAAGCTGGCACGAACCACCGTCCAGGCTTCACCACTCGCAAAGAGGAGTTCCTCCATGGCTTTCTTGTCCATGTGCGGGGTGTGCAGGAGGCCCTTGTAGAGAGGCTGAATGATAAGAGGCGTGTCCCTCCCAAACTTGGAAATTCCAGTGCTGCTGAGCCCAATGACGCGCGGCCGTCCAGAGACGCCCTTTTCGGTGCGCAGCTTCTTGATAGCGTCGAGCAAGACGGTCATGCCCTTTTCGCAGACGTTGACGTCCTCGAGGTTCATCTTGCGCAGCTCAAACCAGGCGCCGATGGAGGAGACGACGGCGTCGACGAAGCGGGTTGCGTCAAGGGGCGAGACGACGCATCGGGCAATCACGTCAGCGTCGTGGGCGTTGCCTTGTTCGATGCGGAGGTTGGGGTACTTTTCGGACGGGAGGACGGAGGTCAGCTTGGACGGGGTGCGGCACAGGGCGATGCACGTGTAGCCGGCGTCGAGGGAGCGGCGCAGAGCTGAGAGTCCGCAGCCGCCAGTGGCTCCGAGGAAGAGAATGGTCTTTGCGGAAGACATGATCGGCGAGTGATCCGTGGCGTGCCGTGTAAGTGCCTAGGTGATGGGGTTTCGGGACGGAACCGAGTACGGATGCGAGAGGTGAGACCGAGTGCGGGATGGCGGATCGGGGCCGGGGGGTTGTTGGTAGATCGATTCCACTGAGGTGTTTGAGATCGACAAGAGTTGAGAGTGGTGATTGAGGATGATGACCGAATCTTCATATTCCACTTGGAAAGCGGGAACTCCATCGCCTTTTATCCTACCAGAAGTCCGCGTCAATACCGCTTAGGGGCCTCGAAGGACACGACTGCGATGCAAAGTCCGCAAGCCACACGGGGCCGTGAAAGTGCATAGTTAGGCCGAATCACCGTGTGTGATGCATGTATGGCTTACATGTTGACAGGCGACAGGCTGACAGCGTCGAAGGAATCGATGCCAACCGTCACAATGCTTGTTTTGGGGTGAGGGAATGTCACCAAAAGAGGCCACACGGCCACAGGGCTGGAATACGGTTGGAATGTTCCTCCGCTCAAACTGGTGGCGTCCAGTGGGAATGCTCTGATAGACGTAGTGGGTCAAGCCACATTTTGCTTATCGGAATTGCGGGCCCTTGAGTGGATCTTACATGTGGGTCTTTGCACGGGATTCGACCCCGGTGGCTTGACGCTAATCTCAGTCCAGTTAGTACACGGGCTGGCAGGGCCGCCTGGTTGGGAAGGCAGCGGGTCGACTCGCATTCCAAATCCGGCTGCAGAGAAGTCCCATCGTCAACATCCAATGCTCTTCTACTGACATCTTCAACTGACATCTTCCACCCTCCCAGTCTCCATCACCGAAACCCTGCGCCTCCCAAGATGAAGCTTCTCCAGTTTGCTGCGGCCAACATACTTTTCAAAGAGTGGCCATAGTTACCAACACAGACCATCGTATCCGAACCTACGTCTATTCACTCTGTCGTCTTCCCAATGACTGACTTCCGCTACCAGAGTGTATTCTTGAATCCGTGCACATTTGACGCATCATGAACTGCTGCTCGTCTTTGCGATACAACACCTATGCGACTCGAGATGGCACATGTCGACCCGACTTGCCACGTCCCACTACTGTCCCCGACTTACATTCAGCCAGCAGACCCCCGTCGCCTCCCTCACGCGAATGCATCGTACAGAACTGAATCGGGCAATTGGCTTCGAGCTCACCGATCACTCCCTGATCTATAACGACGTTGCTACCCACCATCGAGACAAGCAAGTCCCTGCAGCATCTCGCAGCTCACTTCCCCAACCCAACTCAACAGCACAGACTGTGACGTTTCGGCGTGGCATTGGTGGGAGCGCTGAACACTTGACTACAACCCAAGAGAGGGGACTCAGCCCGCAGAAGAGTCCGCACGACTAATCTCCAGTTGAGAGATGGCACCATGTCGCTTCCGTTTGAGTTTCGTCCGATTCCATCACCCAACTTTCATTCGCAATCTGTCTTTCCACAGTCCAAGGCTCCAAGGCAGTGCCCGGACAACAAGGAACGCACCTGGAAAGTTCTGTTCGGTTTGAGCATGTTTGTGGCCCTTACCAGCGGCCGTTGTGCCGTTCAGATCACAAGCGTAGACAAAGCAAAAGGGAACCACCCTCGGCCAGATGGATCCATGTTGCTTGCAGGCCGGGCCCATGCCGTTTCGTAGATCTCTGACGCGGGTCCCAAGCTTGTCGATTCTAATTCTCCGTCGTATTAAGATCGTGGTATGCCGCTGCACAGTCAACTTGTCTTAGCCTTGACAGACGTCGTCAACGCCAAGGGACTCTGACAGGTCGAAGAGAGCTCTCCTATACACAACTAGGCACTCGCGCCATCCAGCAATCTCTAATACAAAAATGCTCGTGGGAAGGTCGGTTCCAGAACTCATCCTCGTGAGGTCCGTGGTAATATACTTTCAGTACCTCGGGTTTCTCTGCTTCCTCTACTTTTGGTTCATATTCGCCCTCGCTGGTGTACCCGGCATCGCTCATCCCGTATCGATCCTCATCGAAGTCGTCGGCATCATCGAAATCGTCTTTTACTTTGCCTGGTTCGTACCGTATCGTCGTCGTCTCCAGAAACCCGGCCTACAACCAGAGCCTTTGAACCAGGAAGAACGCCGGCGGTTCTTCTACCAGGGACTGGACCACGCGCCAGATGTCGAGCAGTATATCCGAAAATGGCACTGCAACGCCCAGCTCGGCGATATTCGCAGGGAGAATGTCAAAGACTGGCTGATGTGGGCATTGTTCGACAAGCAAGGCAATCCGCAAGAACACGACGAAGAACTCGAGGAGTACATTGCGGAAACCGAAGAGCGGGCTGGAGTCAATATCAAGAGAGGCTTTGGAGACGCAACACCGATGCGCCTCAGTTTTGATTCCATCACAATCACCCACAGAAGCTTAATGTATTACCTTGTAAGTGTCTTTGTAGTGAACATTGTCCTCAACTTAGCCTGGATAGGAGACTAACGCATTCAAAAGACCACTGGCACCCTCGACTTTTTCGCAACCCTCGTCCTCTTTATCAGAGGCTTCAAATTCTACCGTCAACCACGCAACACCTTCTTCTCCGTCTTCCCATGGCGGCCCATGACCCTCTTCTCGCCCAACGAGTCTGCCGACCCGAAGCTAAGCTACTTCTGCCGCCCGCACACGTCGGAGACCAAGCGTCCCATTCTCTTCATGCACGGCGTCGGCGTCGGCATGCTCCCGTACCTACTATGGCTCTGGAGCATTCCAAAGGACGTCGGCGTGCTGTGCATCGAGATTCTCCCCGTCTCCTCGCGCATTTGCCCCCCTCTGCAGACGACCAAGGAGCTCGTCGACGGCATAGACGCCATCATCAAGCAGCAAAACTACAACGACTTTGTCTTTGTGGGAAACTCCTTTGGCACGCTCTTCGTTTCCCCGCTGCTGCAAAGACCGGACATCGCGGCAAAGATCAACTCCATCGTCCTCATCGATCCCGTATCACTGCTCCTCCACCTCCCTGCCGTGGCCTACAACTTTACGCGGCGCACACCGAAATGGGGCAACGAATGGGAAATCTGGTTCGTCGCCACAGACCCCATGGTCGCACACACCCTTGCCCGCCGCTTCCGTTGGCAAGATTTCATCCTCTGGACGCCCCAGCTACAGGGAAAGCGCACCACCGTCGTCCTCGGCGGCGAGGACTGCGTCACCGACCCAGACGCCGTGGCGAGCTACGTCTACTTTGGCGATCTCAACTGCACGCGGCACGACAAGCCCGAGTGGGCGACGACGCCTCAGAGGTGGAGCGGGAAAGGGGAGCTGGAGCTCATGTACCTGGCCGGCATGGATCACGGCCAGGCCTTTTTGAGCATCAAGCACATGCCGCAGATTGGCAACGTCGTAATAGCCTATACGCACCTTAGCGGGGTCATGGACTCGAGGCAAGCGGATGTCGCCAAGGAAGAAGAACAGAACCGGATTTGAGACGATGTCATGATTTATGAGGCGTTTTTCGGTTACTCCTGGAGGTGTAGGCTACGTGCGTTCTTTTTGCGACGTGGCTGAGGAGTGGATGGTCTGGGAACCTGCCCTCGCTTTTGTCACTTTACAATATTTATTATCATCACTGACCCTCTTCCTCTCTTATGTATCGCTGTCTATGATTACTCTGTGACCTTTGGCATGTTAGTATGATGCTGGCCTCATGGTATCAGATGTTAGGATATCTGATCCATGCCCATGGTGATGTTTGCGGTTCGCACCCTATGGCCACACTTGAACCTCGGTAAATCCTTGACAAAATCACAGCCACTGCATCTGTTGTTCATCATCAGTCAATCATATTCATCCCACGGCAAAAGCCCCGTCTTCTGATACCCAGGAACGTGCGGCTGCAACGGCGCACAACACTCAATCCTAACCCCCTTCCTCCCAAGCCTATCAACCTCCACCAACCTCACGCGCACAGGAACCTCATGCCTCTTGACCTGAGCGAACCCCCTGCTCCTCCAATTCCGTTCAACATCTCCCTCGACTTGGACCTTGACCTCCACGTCCGTCTCAACAAACTGATCCAGCCCACCAGACACGGCAAATTGCGTATCCCCCCACAGCACATCAACCCCCAAGTCAGCCTGCGCCTCACAAGCATGGCACCACACCTTCCACTCCCCATCCACCCTCCTCCACCCGACGACAACATCAACCTGAATCCGCGCGTTCGTCGGCGACTCAAACCGCAACCCAGCAAGCACCGGCTCAAAGTACGGGTTCCCCGTCCTCAAAATCCCCAGACTCGGCACCCACGGTCCCGTGGGATACGCATCGACAACCCGATACGCCTCCCGGGCGCCGCCCGCCTTCCAGCCCGCGTTGAGGACAGAAATATCCGGTAAAACATACGCTGGGCTCCGCTTGACGAAAACAGTCTTGTAGCTGCCCCGCCCCGGCCTCGTCGAATCCGGCGCCGGGATCACCGTGCAGACACTCCCCGTCCGGACCCGGGCGTACTGGTTCCCCGATAACTTCCTCAGCATGATACGCGGGCACTGGTCCCCGTTCTCGCCCTGGATGGCGCAGTCCAAAACAGCATAAAAGTCGTCCGCCGCGCTGCCGTCGCCGCTGCCCGGGTCATCGTCCACGGGCTCAAGGTACATGGAAATCCTAATCCCCTGGTTCGTAAGCTGGATCGGCTGCTGCCCCGTCGTCCCGAACGCCGGCAACGGGCGAAGGTACTGAAACTGGGAAAACTCAACCGGCGACGGAGCGAGCAGGCCGCTGAGGATGTGCTGGTCAAACGCCGCCTCCTGCGTAGACGTCTCGTAGTTACTGTGCCACGCAAAGATGGAATGGTCTCCCGTATCCTGGAGTATGGTCTCCTGCAGCCGCGCAAAAGCCTTCATCCCCTCGCCGTACAGCAGCGGCATGTTGACGCCAAAGATGCCCATCAGGCTGTAGGCCAGGTCCTCCTTGCGGGTTGTGACTCTCGACGAGGCCCAGTGCATGCGCTCGGCGACGCTCGACGACTCCAGGGGGACCGTCTTGTTCAAGATGTCGAGACTGATTCCTGTGACGGTTGCCAGCGCGGGACCAAGTGACTCGTCGAGCTTGGAGCCGATGAAAAGCCAGTTGGTGTCGTAAAAGTCAACGTTGTCGGGTGCAATGAGCTCCTGAAGTGTCCAGCCGCGGGTGAACCATCGGCATTCGCGCAGCGCCAGTTCCAAAGGAGCAGTCATACCTGGCTGCTGGTATATCGAGTAGTCCAAGTCAGAGAGGTAGACGTAGCAGACACTGGCCTGCTCGTACCAGTTGAACATGGAGTTAATGGCCTCGGACAATTCGGCGCTGCTCGTCTTGTCGATGCAGCACGTGTCGATCCAGATGTAGTCATACCCCTGACTCTGGGCAAGTCGGCAGGCTCCCGTGATCTTGGGGTATCCGGCCATCAGTGTGATGTCCTTCTGGGCATCGTGCACATCTTGCAATGTAACCTCCTCTGTTCCCCACGTGTGGGAGAGAATAGCAAAGTCTGGCGCATTGTCTCCCTCGTACATGACAAAGCTCCCGAGTGCTTGTGACCCGTGGGCAGTTTCCAATAGCCTCATCGTCTCTCTGTGCATGTACTACACAAGATATGGCTTGACCGATGCGGAGGTGAAGGCATGTTGCTGGCGGTGTTCCTGGTGGCCACTAATGCAGCTCGGGTCCCCGCAGGCCCTAGATAGATTAATTGTCTCTGGGGTCCATTAGAGCAACCCTGGCACTTTTCGATGCTATTTACCAGGGTCAACACACGCCAGTACTAAACCTAAGGATGTGGATGTTCTGTAGGCCGAACAAGTCATGCGCCGGTCAATGTATGAGACTCAGTATAAGTCTATATCTCACTTGAGAGCCGTTGTGCCTGGTACGCAAGTTGAAAGAGAAATCCTGTATTACTGATCATGAGGTATATCGCGAATAAACGTCGCAACTTGACTCGGTATCGTTAATCACGCCTTGGGAGCATCAGTCAGTGGCACATATCGAACCCCAAAAAGCTTCTCCTTCACAACAGACCCGTCCTCCTTCTTGTCAATGGCCCAAACGTATTGATCGTAGCCGTTGTCGTCCTCGACGGGGATAAACATTCTGCCCAAAGTTAGCATTCCGTGCCAGAGAACGGCGTTCACCCAGCTCACCTCCCAGGCGCCCGAAGCTGATCCACCAACTCCTGGTGAAGCTCCACCGCAGCAGCACCAACATGGATGGCATCCCACCCCGTAGACTCAGCCGTTTCCCCGTCCCGCGGCGCCTCCACCCAGCCCTTCCGTCCGTCACCGACCCGGAACTTGACCTTGCCGCTATCCAGGAGTGCTCTCCCCTCGACACTTTTGGCCATGTTGGTCTCGCCCATGTCTTTGAGTGCCTGGATATGCTCCAGCCCGACGACGAGCCCCTTGTCTCCGACGAGCTCGGCAAGCAGGTGCGTCAAGTATCCCGATCCCGAACCGACGTCCAGCACCCGCGGCGCGGGCCTCGTTTCGGAGGGCAGGATGTGCGGGAGGAGAGACTCGGTGGCGCTGGCGTGCATGTGAGGTGCCGAGATGGTGGCCTTGTGGCCTATGGACTGGGGCGAGTCTTCGTACGGCGCAGCGGGAGCGTAGTGTGCCCGGTCAACCTGGGCAGCAGGTCAGAGATGCTCTGGCGGTGGCTGTGGTTGAAGATACCTTGAGAAAGGCGTCCTTGACTCGTTGGTCTTTGATGAGGCCATGCCGCCACATGTTCTCGACCAGGTCCTTATTCGTCGCGCCGGAGCTTCGCCAGGCCATCTTGAAGTTGGGGGCGGGGGTTTGGTGTAGGGAGCGAGGGGTATGTCGTCGTGTTGAGCTCGGGAGGAGCTTGAGAGCTCTCCGGACTGAAGGGCGTCTGGTATTCGTTGTGGCGGGTGCTCTGCTTGGGTTGAAACGGTGGATTATTGACTTGCTTTGTCTAGTGAGCGAAGTAGAGACTTCTCGGGGAAGAGGGCATGCGTGATGATGTTGTTAAAGGAAGGGAATGGAGTGTGTTGTAAAAAGATCAGAGGTGACCATCACAGGTGACGGTGATTCAGTTCCATTTCCAGCATGAGATATCCACCTCAGCATGTCTGAACCGCTACAACTAAAGCTACATACAGCGCCCGTTATGGCGCGAATGTGGTGGAGGTGGGTTGATTCCCCGCGCTCTCAAACCTTGTCGATAAGCGACCCAGGGAGTTCAGACTGCCCGGGCAAGTGGGAGCTCGTAAGGTAAGGTAGCCGGGAAACTTTCTCACTGACCCCGCCTACTAAGCGGATCATCCCGCTGCAAGCACTAATTAAAAGATATCTCTTTCGTTTGCGCTATGTTGAATCCAAGGATCATCATATGCCCAAATCTGGAAGGATAGCATTCCGTTATCACGGTTGTGCGAGTGAGGAATAGACATGAATGCATGTCATAGACCCAAGAAAACCTCAGTATTGATGCCGAGAATGAAAGCTGCTGCTGTGCTTCCTATGTAGATTACCCTGCTCCCATTTCCGTTCCCTTAAAACACCCAAGACCCACAGAACGACGCAAAGAAAAGGCGCGAGATGCCAAATGTCGTAGACTCGTGGCCCAGACCAATAACCACTTTGTGACACAAAAAGAATAACCGACTGCGCTTCGTCACGCTGTGACACACGAAAACGCCAATGCTATACCACTCTCTCGGACGACTCGCCATCTGCGATAATGGGCACAGGCAGTCCACGGTCGGGGCTCTGCAGGACGAGCTGCTCGTGGCGCCGTGCCTTGAGGTAGTCGCTAACAGACCTAATGAGGACGAACCATCCGACAACCATCAAAATGTACGCGATCCACTCTTGTCCGGTAATATCCGAAACACCGCCGCCGCCCTCTCCCGTTACCGCGTTGGGGTCGAAGCTGTGCGAGTTGGGGTCGGGTGGTGCCGCGTATCCGTCTTGGCCGTTCATCTTGGGCGGGTGGTCGCCCTCTGTTGTGCCCTTCATGTAGAAACCGTACTGAATTAAGGTGATGCCCAGGCCGGCGCGGGACCCGTTCTTGGCCGCGTGAGTCGAGTGGAGGAGGTACGTGAGGATGAAGCCGACAACCTGGAAGGACATGGAAATCATGCCGTTCCAGACAAAACTGAAGAGAGATCCGACGGGCATCCCATCAATGTAGACTTCGTCGGGTCCGCCGAGGCCTGGAGCAAGGATAGTCGTCTCCCAGTAGGGGGGTGCGGCATCCGCAGCGGCTTGCTCATATGTCTAGAGACTGGTTAGTACAGCATATTCAAAGGTTAGGTTTCCCCGATGTATGGGAGTGGCGGTGGGGATTGAACATACCGGAGGTTGCTCCTCCTTCGTCTCGCCTCCCCGCTCAGGCTTCGCCGTCAAGTTGGAAAAGACACCCTCATTCTGAATACCGCTGCCGTAGATGCGGAACGGCGTCGTAGGTCCACCTGCTGCGGATGCAGTAGTGGGAGGAAGCTGGGTGACCTGCCTATCGGGCTGGGGTCTTGACTCGGAGGAGACGGTGCGGGATGTGTCGCGGGAGGTCAGGGTGGAGTCGGCGCGGACTAATCTCTGCCTGTCGTCGGCGTCGTCATCGCTTTCGTCGCCATCGGTATCGAATGCGTCGGCGAGGGTAGAGTCGACTCCGTGGGCGGCACGATCGCGCGATGATGCTCTCGAGTGAAAGGACGGGGGCGGAGAGTTTGGCACAGTTTGCGCGTGACTTGGCGGTGCGGAGTTGGGGCTATTGAAGTCGTCCTCGTCCTGGGCGTTTACCTGCAAAAGAGTACACTGTCAGCGAACCATGACAAAAATGAGAAAGAAATGGTGTCGGGTTTTTGGGACACAACATACCCGCTCATAACGTCCAGCCATCTTGACGAATGTGGTGTAATGTTTTTGTTTTCTCTTTCTCTCTATTCTCGTTGTCTTGAAACCGTAGGACTCGGGGCGCCCCTTTCGCCACTGGGGGAGAAGACGGCTAGCGCTGTGTAGTCGGTAATTGGGGGGAAGAGGCGTTGGAGGTAAGGAGACGTCGGGGAATACGGAGGCGGTTATTCGAAAGGAGCCAGGCGAAAAACGAAAAGAAAAAAGGCGAGGAAGCGTTTCGCGAGGATCGTAGGAGAAATCGGAGGGGTGAGGCGACAAAAAGGAACGACGATGGTGGTGTTGTGCTGAAGAAAAAAAGGGTGTTGGTTCGGAGGAAAAGAGGACTACTACGTACACCATCAACGTTGGTTCGGTTCGTCTGCGGTGATGAACGTCGGAGAGTCAGTCCAGGCGTATCTTGGGAGGAGTACGCTGAAAGATACTAAGTGCAAGGTACCTAAGTAGGTAGTGAACGGAGTACGACAACAGGAGGTCAGGAGTGTCGGGATTGTCGCACGACCCGGGCGCTGTCTCGCTGCGGTGAAGTGGATTACCTAAGATACATCTCTAACGCTAAAAAGCCCCTGTGCCAGTGGAGGTGGAGACGAATCTCAGTGTCGCTGCCATTGCTGGTAGGGGGGTTACGTATACGTACTCGTACCTTACCCGCGGGAATGTGCTGGAACAAATTGAGACTGAGGGGGGCACGGGGGGTTCAATTCTGTGTTGCTCCGAGTCCGCTGCCTCAGTGGTGACTGCCAACGGCTGCCTCTTTGGTGGCCTGAGTGCTGACAAAGACAACCGGGGAGTACCTACCTCAAGGCACTTGACTGTCAAATGCCTCAGGCCAGAGTCATGCGCATAAGGTAAGCCAGCTCACTAGCCTCATATGCATACTGTGTACGTAGCGAATGCCCCACTCTCTTCGGCCCATCGGACCCCCTGACCACTCGAGATCTTTTTCTCCAATCACAGCCCTCTGAGTAATCCAGCCAATATCATTCACGTCTTTGGCGAATCCGTCTCCACTCTGACCAGTTCGGTAAGCGCCGATGCAGCGCAGTCCCTTAGCTCCGACGAAATGAATTTCTTCGACGTCTGCGACCGGGCCTGCCATCTGATGCGAAATCCTTGACGTCGTTGATGGGATTCTGAAGCTACCGCGACTTTCGCCCTTCACCGCCCGCACCCACCCCCCTCTACCCACCACTGCTGCCTCATTGCCCCGCGGTGAGACCATGATAAGGTAGACGGCATTCGGTAGACTCACCTCCATTCTCCATTTGTTTCCAACATCGCCGCCATGTCGCGCACAACGAGTGTATGTCTCTCCTTTCTGCCTCCCTTCCCGCCCTTCCAACTATCGCCTCACCGTCACTAACACTATCCTTCCACAGCAAGCGTACAAGCACATGAGGTCAGCCCTGGCCTTGTGGCCCAAGGACAACCTCCGCCCCGAGACCCAGTTCAGCGAAATCATCCAGAGAGGCATCGAGAGGAGGTATACCAAGCCCAATGTCGTCGACGAGGCCAAGGAGCTGAAGCAGGCCAACGCCATGTTCGCCCTCACCGACGATCGCTTCAAGAAGAGGGTAAGCTGCACCAACCTCCACGACCTCGCCTCATCGTAATCCTCTAACATACATCCCGCAGTTCCCCCTCAATGGCGAACTCTTGAAGCCCGAAAGCCAGCCCACATACTTCCAAGACCTGTTGAGAGAGCTCGAGGAGGCCCCGACACGAGGGTGGCTGCAAAATATGTCCAAGAAGTTGTCAGGCATGTTCAGACTTCAATGATGATGGCATAAGGAAGGAACGACGCAAAAACAAACTACCACAAACACCAATACGAGGCACCACTGATTACGGCATCGCACAGCGAAAAAGGAAGCCATCCAAATAGCAAGGGCATGCTTGACGTAACGGTCAAGGCCCTATGTATCATATCTTGTACAAAATCTGTACCCTGTATAGTGTAACTATCTATACCAAACAAAAAACTAGAACCTCAACGCCATTGTATCTTGTAGCAGTCCTTCTTAGATGTATCTTCCCTCGGGGTCCACCTTGTTCATCAGATCCATGCTCTTCTCGTACATGGTGAAGACAAGACCGCCGCTCACCACGAGACGCGCCAAACGCGGCAGCGCACCACTCCACAACGTCAAGACGCCCTCTTGCTTCAGGATCATGGCGGCACACCGGAACGAGTTGCCGTACTGCTGTCGTGCCGTGATGCTCTGCATGCGCGTCTTGATCGTGTCGAGGGGCTGCGTGGCGTACACCGTGATCAATCCCGCGATGCCGCCCATCGCGAACGTGCCCACGGCGCCCAGCTTCTCTCCGGGTGCCGTGTAGGACTCGGCCATCTGCTTGAGCGCATTGTACGCGCTGAACCGGACCGCGCTGTTGGCCGCCTGGCGGGCCGTCGTCGGCACGAAGCCCTGGAAGAATCCGCGGAGGCCGCGCTCGCGGGCAATGATGGGGACGGCGCTGAGGAAACCCTTCATTCGGGGCTTGCCGGACTTCTTGTCGTCGATACTGCGGCAGTAGTGTCAACAATGATGCAAGGCCATTAGTGTAGCAGTGCAAAAGACTCACAGCGTAGTCTTGATGCTCTCAAAGGGAGTGACAGCAAGGGCCGACTCCGTCACACCGGCGCCGAAGCCGGCGATGACCGTCTTCGGCCCAGAGATGTTGCCGTCGGCGTCGGAGAGGAGCGTCTTGTACTGGTCAAAGGCAACGAATCCTATACATCGGGCGTCAGCAAGCACAAGGCAATTGCTCCAGAGTATCTGCTTCACATACGAATGCCCGCCTTGAGCGAGTTGCCAATGATCAACGTGGTGCATCCCGCGTACCATTGCGCTCCGAACGGCGGCCATGGCAGCTTCTGTCCGGCACCCAGGTTTCGGTTCAATTGCGACCGGGTCTTGGCAACTGTCGAGGAAGGGTCAGAGAGTCAATCGCAATCGGGTGACCGGTCGTAGTCGTCTTACATTCGGCAGGGTACGTGATGGCTGTGTCCGGAGAGTTAGTCTTCTGTCTTCATTGTTTGCGGGTGCGTCATCGGGGGGGGACCGCAAAGAGTGGAGGGACTCACCAATCTCAACAGCGCCGGCCGTAGATCCAGCCAGAATGGATCGCAGGACCGTCGGTCCGCCCTTCTTGACGGGCTGCGACTCATCCTTGGTCGCCGCGGTGGCACTCATCGCGGTCGACATTTTGGAGGCGGGAGGATCTGCGGAGCGTGTTGGAGTTTGTCTGCTGGACGGGCACTTTTTTTTTTTGGAGGAAGCTTGACGTGCAGGTGCAGTCCTGCGTCCGAGATCGCGGGGTGTGGAGACTCTGGAAAGCCGAACGGTACGTACCGGCTAGTGGTCTGACGACATCTTGGCCGCTGACCGTGCATATCAACACACCGAGGTCTTCACCTCGCCACCACACCGAGATGCCGAGATAATGATGACTTACATCAACGGCAACCCATTTTGATGGCCTATACAGTACATGGAGAAGGACTCTTCAACCCAGGGACTATACATTGAGTAAGACCAGCCAAAATTGTCGTTAGATATCTCATTCTGGGGTGATCATCCCCATTTCCAATTATTCGGAATGGCTATAGATACTTTCACACCGTTCTCATCATTCTTTCCGGGGTGACCATATCAATTGCATGCCCCGTAAACCATTTATTCTACTGTGTACTTTATACCATCTCCTGTTGGTATAGATGAATGCTGTAGGGCAGCGACAGAGGTTGACTTCGTTGCCGTGGCTAACCAAAATGCCGGAGACACATTATTTGGTTTCCAAACAGCCGTCTTGGTTTAACCAGAGACGAACATCAATCATCTTGATTGCGGCTTCGGCTCTCTATCTGAGTTGGATTCAAGGTCGGTTTAAACGCTTGTCAAATGCCTGTTCAAGGTGCGGGATTGTGGACTTGACTTCTAAGTTTTGTCCTTCAATGTATTTTTTGAGTGAAAAGTGCTATAATATAATGGTGAGTAATAAAAGGTAGATCAAACAATTATCTGAAAAGTATTCGCCAATGCCATTTCACCTTGTTCATACATTTTCGCTTGGAAGTTGGAAGACAAGAAATTTCATATTCATATGCATAATGCAGTTTTAAAGGTGAATTACTTAAACAATCTGTTGCCTGCAATAGAAATAACCTGATCCGAGCTGGAATACCGACTCGAGTCTTCGCCATCGTTGCCGCTATTTTCCATAAATTAGGAAACATAATGTTCGGGCTCCTTGATGGCAAGAGGTTATCTTTCGGAGCATTATGGTAATCTGCTTTCTAAATACAGAGTTCCAAGAATTGACTTATAGTCAAGACTGTCCTTGCTTGAGACGTCACAGCACTGCCTACTACACGATTCATTGAGGCATAACCCAAATATCATCACCAGCGCACACTCCTTCGCGCAAACCTTAATTTGAGTTTAGCACAGCTGGGGTAAACAACATGAAGTAAGCTTAATTCACACATCATTCATGCCGTTCAAACTATTATATCCTGCTTACTCTATATCAGAAGAGTTGGTTTCTTCTGCTGGCGATTTGTCATTAAAAGTCACAGCCATAGAGATGGATCAAAGTATTGCATGGCAAGAGGTTTGAATTATGGAACCTGGAAGCAGCCATGGGCACGTCTTCCTAGTCTGTCAAAGACTATGTAGTATGTACAGTGAAACCAATCCTTCTTGTAGTAGCCGCAGGCTTAGGTTGCAAACGCATTTACTGCATCTTGGGGACCTTGATGGTGGCGATCTTCCAGACCTTGTTGCCGTTGCTGGCAGCGAGTCCGGTGTAGGTGGCACCCTGGCTGACACCAATGGTCTTGCCAAAGTTGGCATCGGCGCTGGAGAGGGTGATGGTGGTGTCGGAGTAGATCTGCTCAGCAATGGTGCCGGTGCAGCCGTCGTTGCACTCGGTGCCGGTTCCGTATCCTCTCATGAAGGGGCCGTCCTTGTGGTCGAGGGTGCTGATGACCTTGTTGGTGGCAGTGTCGGTGACGGTCTGGCGCCAGGTGTCGTTGTCGTCGAGGAGGTCGTACTCGATCTTGATCTTCTGGGTTCCCTTGACGGGGGCGGAGGTCTCGCTGTCGATCTGGCCGAAAGAGCCAAAGACGGAGGCGCGGACGCACCACTCGCCAGCGACGGCACCGCACCAGCTGTTGTCGGGCCACGACTCGAGGGTGGTCTGGACGAGGTTGCCGGTGCCGTTGGACATGCCGGGCCAGAGGAAGAGGACACCGGCCTGGGTGGGAGGAGCGGCACCGGGGGTCAGGTAGGTGACGGCGTTGATGATGGTGGAGGTGGTGGGGCCGAGGGAGACGGCGCCGCCCCAGGAGTCGCGCTTGGCGACGTTGTTGGAGGGCTCCTCACGGCGGAAAAGGCCGGGGAAGGCCATGGTGGTGGCCGGGAGGGCGGCCAAGAGGAAAGTAGCGAACTGCATGGTTGCGGTAGTGGGTTGTTTTGAAGAAGCGAAGGACTGGATTGGAGAACGAATGTAAGAGGTTTGTTAAAAGGGCTGAAGAAGTGAACGTATGTGCTGGAGAATAGATTCAAGATCAGAGAGGCTGGTGATCGAGGAGAGGCATCTTTATAAAGGACTTTCAGAGTCTTGGCCGTTCAGTCCCCAACTTTCCTAGCGTGGGAGCCGCTTGACGAGATGAGAGGAGTTTGATGCAACGCAGTTGATTCCCAAAAGGAGAGGGAGTGTGTTCTGGCCCGCCTACTTTGGCATGGACGGGGATGTTCTCCATTCGGATTCCTGATGGGTACAGCAAGCACACGGAGTAGTCCATCGCGTATGTTTGTCGTCCAAGACTAGGGTCACGGCAGAGGATGCTACGTTGAGGGGCCCGGAGTAGAGTGGTGGATCGGTTCGGACGACAAGAACATGGGATGGAAAATTCCGGAGGAACATCGTTGGATTCGATGGAAGAATCTTTCCTGTTGGTCCATCGTCGTGAAAGAGGGGCCAAAAATGGCGTTGTAGTTGTTTGTTGGAAACACTAGCCGAGTCGAGCCCTGCCATGCTCGGCCGAGTCTGGAATAAGGTGGCCCCTTATTTGAGACCATTATAGCTTCCAAACGCCCAACTTGTCGGGCCAGTGGCGGCAAGCCGAGTACGATAGGCGGGAAATTACTGCCCTTTCAAAAAGTCTCAGGGTAGGCTTTTATGGCGGATACTACACTCTTACTTGGAGACTCTAGAAAGTTAGAAACAATATATAATGGATCTCGCGCTTCGTAGGCGAATGACCTTTTTCTCCCGGATTGCCGGTTAGCCATATCGAGGAGAGCGAATCCGAAGAGGGCTCATGACTTTAGCTTCATGCTGGAGAAGTCTGAAGGAGAGATTCTTCTTTGGGATCCTCCACAAGCCAAGTCGGCAGTTGGACCGAACCACGATGTCACGAAGCCAATCTACTTTTGGAGTTGTACATTCTCCCACCAGTGGTAGCGCGGCTCTTGGGTCAGCAGGGACCATGGATATCGGGGTGGTATCCGATCAATTGTCAGTAATGGGCATGTTACATTCTGGTCTGAAGGACTATCTATGCCTTGGCTTTTGGCTTTGACGATGAATAATCGTACGTAGTAGATGAAGGTGATAGTCTGTTGAGTTTGCGTTTGAGGTATAATCTGGTGGCGGCGATTCCCACGACTGGGTTGCCAAGCACATCAACACGAGTAAAGAGTCATGAATCGCAGTGAGTACTGATGAACAGAGTGAGCCCCTGACCCTCTCAAGTGAAAAGTCGAACGGGATACGACGGACTATCCGTAATCCGTTCTTGTAAGTGGGCGTCTGCCGCATAACCGCCATGTGACGTAAGCAATCAATTTCTTCAAAACAAAGGGGTAGAGTCAGTAGGACTGAATGGGGAAAAACAGCCGGTGAGCGTTTGGAAACGATGAATCCAACGAGGCGGTATTCAATTCCTTTTAGAGGACGTTTTCGCACTCGATTCGTACTTGGACAACGATATAAGTCAAGAGAGAAAGTTAACGTGTTGGTGCCGGGCAGATTTTCAACCTCGCATCGTCGGGTGCCGAAACTCTGTTTTTCTCTCTCTCTCGGTCTTCGGTAGTTGCGCACGCACGGGGCCGGATGCATCATGCACACGGCCATTTTTTCACAAGTCGAGTTGGTTGCGCGGTGACGGGACCGGTCTTGGAACCCTCCTTGGCGACCGGTGGAAGCTTGGGAACTGCCGTGCCGTCCGCTTGGGTTTTCATCCCACCTATTTTGGACCCCCCCGACTCCAAGATCGCCGTGGATTGACCGTTGAATTCTCAATTCTACGGAATGACGAGCAGACGATGTCAATGGCCCGATCTTCTCACCAGACTGCAGCTAACAACTCGACCGTTCTGACATCTGTACACAGTCATCCCAGTATGAACTCACTGCAGCCTACATGCCAAGAAGGTGAGGATTGCATACGGACGCCCGGCTATGCTCAAAGCTTTCAGCCTGGGCATTGGATCATGAGGATTCACATAGTGACCGCGATGGTGGAGGTGTTCGTCGCGTGAGATCATAGGATTCGTCATGGATCATCATCCTTGGTGACGAACATTGCGAAAAATAGCACAGATACGCACACAGAGAGAGAGACAAGAAAATCTAGTTGACCGTCTCCATTGATATTCATCTAGCTGGGGTGAGTGACATCACTATCAACCTTAAGCTCCCTCGTACACATCATCGTCAACGTCGCCCACCATGCTCATGATCGTGTGTGCGCAGGTGGTGCAACCAAAATGATTGACAGAACGGCTGGCGCGGAAATAAGGGGGCATCAAGCCTTGGAACGGGCGACAGGTGAGCAGTCAGCCACGTCCGCGAGACGAAGCTGGGAGACCCAAGCCTTCGAGGTTGACGAGTTCCCACCTGCCAGCTGGCCAGCAAGGACATGCCTCGCTCGTCGGCAGCATGTTCAGTTCCGAGTCAGCGAAGAGGCCGAAGCTAGACTCTACATACACAGAAGGGGAGAGAGTCTCAGCTTACTTAAGGCATTCGAGACAAGCAAATATGGCACACGGCGAGTTTTCCAGGGGCGCAAGTGTGGCTCAGCGCAAAGTCTTTTGACATTCCCACGGCACAGTCAGCCAGCTAAAGGCCCAGGCACAGGGGATAACACCCGCAACGTCGGTTGGGGTCCCTGACGTTGCCGTCTCCAGGGTCTCGCGGCATGCGCGGGCGCTTGTAGACAGTTACACAGTAGGTATAGTCTCATCGACGCCACAGCGGACCTGGACCCTTGAAGTTGACGTGGACACGACCGAAGATCCGGTGCGGTGCGTCACAGTTGTGTGAAGCTTGACTTTTGACTACCTTAGGTATGTGTACGGGTATACGGGCATTGGCTGTTGAACCAATCTTTGTACAGCCATGCCACATTTCACCAATTACTGTGCCATCCAGGAACTTGGAAGTGTTTACTGCGACAAGTGAGAGATGACTGAGTTGTTCGGTAACGGCTCGCAAGGCCTTCCATGGGACAGGGATGGGATTGGGCGTGCTGATGAAGGGATGCCCCCCGTTTGAGCCCTACGATAGCTGACTCTTGAGATTGAGACTGCTTTGACTGCCCATCTCCAAAGGGCCTGTGGAGACCCTTCAAGTGACGTTCATCTTCATGCGGATATGCTTATTCGTCAGAGTCAAATGGCCCGCAAACCTCTTGTGCAGAGGACATCCTCGTAACGGAAAGCTCCTCACAGCTCGGGCCCCTTTGTCTCCAGCATCTCCTGGCCCTACCCGCATAGGAATGTAACCCTCTAGAGACCGCAACATCCCCTCATCGACATATACTCATGTATGGAATATGAACCGCTAGAGAGCGATCTTCAATGCGGCTGCGGCACAATCACTTGGAGGTTTTGTTTCAGTCGTGGACAATCCCAGGCGTTCATGTGACCCTTAGGAGGGAATCCGAGACCTTTGGTCGTCATCCCGTGTAGGAGGCGAGACATTTCGTAGCCAGTCGCGGACCACAAACAGCCTCGATCGAGCTCTGGCGCTAGTTCGAGCAAGAGCTGAAGCATGCGAGATGGCAGGGCTGCTCAGTGCTCCCTTCTCAGGCAGGGTGGATGGCCGTTGTCTGATCTCTGTATTTGTAGGTGGTCGTGTACGTACGGATAGCCTATCCATCCCACTTACTGCTACCCGTGTATTGGTGTACAGAAGCTGCAGAGTTTCGCGAAAAAAAAGCATGCGAAAAATAGCACAAACCCCCTCTCTTCCCGCTTCGAGTCCCCCAAAATCCTTCCGAGAAGATCTTCCATGCATATCGCAACTCTCCGATGCATACAGAGTTCAGACCGAACTTCTGAAGCATCGAGACGTGAAAAAGAGGGGAAACAGCTTTGCTTCCCACCAAAATCGTTGGCAGAGCATCTTCACTTCTGCTCAAACCTCATCTTCCCATCTCATGCCAAGAACAGCACAAGCCACCCACTGCCCACTCTCATTTCACAAGATAAAGCTCTGGACCCTGTCAAGCCCAGATCATTAATTTCAGCCTTTTCAGGTGCCGTCGCTGACTCCGAACCCGTCACGGCATTGGTGCAAAGTCTCCCTACTGGGCTTTACTCTCGGGCTTTAGAAAAGCTTCAGAAGGAATCAAATAACTACACACCGGCGCCGGCACCAAGAAAGAAGGCCTTCAAGACCTTTCAGCACCAAGGTTACGGAACGGACACGTACACGGCACCGCGCTGCAAAGTCACCAGCGCCGCCATCTCGCTACCTTTGCATCACATCGCAGCGCAGCGCAGCTCAGCATAGCACAACACAGCACAGCACAGCACAGCCACATCCAGCTTACGACTCGTTTTTGCCATTGGATAAGTCTCAGCCCGCCAAGTCGACAGAGAAAGAAAGAGAGAGAGAGAGAGAGACAAGCATCAAGCAGAGAGCTCGCTTCCACGCTTCTTACCAAGGGACCGTCGGTCTCCGCAGTTGAAAGCGATCCAAACAGTGCCTACGGAGTACACATCCCAGCAACTTTTGTACTTGTTTGTCTTGCCAACTTGGAAGAAGAGAGAAGACGACGACAGGCCCCCTTTCTTTGCGGCTCGCCAGGCACCATATTCCCGTACATCCCTTCCGCGCCGCTACTGCAGATCCGGGGACTTGCTTCGCTTGTCCTGCCCGTCGTTTCTATTTTTCTCGTTTCTTCTTTGAGGGTCGACTCGCCTCACAGCACTTACAATAGAAGCACGAAGTAAGGTACACCTCATCGCCAGCACATCGAGCCAACCACTTCTCACTCCCTCGCTTTACTTCCCGCTCTCCACGAATACACGCGAGCAAACAACTGGAGCAACGAGCAGCAAGATACCCGTATACGCTGCGTACCCACCGGGCAACACGCGCGATATTAGTATCTCTTATTCGCCCCTCTTCCTCTTCTTGCTCATCTTTCTGCAAGACTGCGTCCACGTACAGCCCTCGCCGTCTTTAATTCAAACGCCCCCAACCACCCTTCCTGCAGCTGCAGGTCGATCACATCTCGCTCAGATTTCATCCACCACCACCAACCACGCGATACTCTTTACAGCGCTCTGCATTCAATATTCACTTTTGCATCGCCAAATTCATCATTCTCACCAAATCTCACTCGCGTTGTACGACAAACAAAAGATTCACCACCAACACTCTCACCTACGCACCGCCGTGTACAAATCGAAAGAGAGACAGAGAGAGAGACCGAGCCAAGTGAGATTTATCAGATGAAGTAAATCTTTTCCCTCATTTAAGCTCAACCTTTTTACAAACTCTCTCCATCACAACCCCGTTTTCCCGACCCACACCAGCTCTAGCCGTGACATTTGACAGCGCCAGCTCCCTGGTCTCCCCCGTCGTCCACGGCATTTGGCCCTTGAGTTGAGTATCCATAAGGCACAAGGGAATACTCCGTACCGCGAGTCCCCTTCAAAGTGCGGGTGGGCTGTGAACCTCCCGCCTCACATCACCTCTTGGCTCAGCCACCCTTTTCACTCACGCACCACACCACACCACCACAACAAACACTTAACCACCCGGGAATCCTTCCGCCGACCTGCATCGAGCCAGATATACTCACAACTACCTCCTCCTGCCCCTCTGCTTGGGCACACTTGAAGCGGAACAAAAAGAGTCTTCATTCTTTTGAAAAAAATATGTCTACACAAGTTGAGGCTAGGTCTCTGGCCTCGCTCAATTATCTCGCCGCAAACCCCCCGCAATATCCTCACAGACCAGCCGAGCAACGTCAAGACCCCCTCACACTCTACATCTCACGAGTGCCTGGCACGCGAGGTAAGCCTCTCTCTCATCTTCGCTCTCACTTTCGCAACTCAAATCTCACGATCACAAACAAACTTCTAACGCATCAACCCCCGCAGACGTCATCTTGACAACCTCAAAACCGCATCTCAAAAATGTCACCAGCGAAGATGTCGCAAACTCATTTTACTACATCCACCTGGAACTGCCCAGTGATGGCAGCCACCCATACCACCCAAACTTGGCGGCCGGATCTCAGCAACCTCACCATCTACGGAACCCGGACACGCCCAGGTCTAGCATGGATAGCACCCGCAGCACGGCTCAGATCCGGAGGAAACCGGTCGCAGGCGCAAAGGTGCCTTCACCGCCAGCCGATCCAGCCCGCGCTCATCTGCCCCCTCAGACACAGGCTCAAACGCAGGCGCAACCTCCGACGCCAGGCTCACATCCAGCGGCCGCCGGCAACCGCAACTCAGGCCTCTACGGCTACGGCACCGGGAATGCGACGGGGTACGGCATCGGCTACGGCACGGGCAACGACCCCCGCCAACCCCGGTGGACAGAGGACCGCCCGGAGCTTCCTCCGCGACCAACATCCCACTCACCTCCGGCCCCTCCCGTACGCAAACCCGTCGGCCCGCGAGCCATCCCGACCCCGGCACCCGACTACGACGCGCCCTTTGCCTCCAGACCTCCTCAGCCTCCTCCTCCTCCTACAGACCTCCACCGCGCTTCTCCCTCCCAGTCCCCGTCCCGTATGCCGCCGCAGCAGGAACCCTCCTCGTCGCCGGCGCGTTCGCGTCGTTACTCCCGTCCGACCTCCGTCTACCGCCAACAATCTCGCTCCCCCTCACCGAACCGCTTCCACAACACAAAGGAGGTCCCCTATACCCTCTCCCTCATCCGCCGCGACCCGAGCACGGGCAACCAGTGGAACGTGGGCCGCGTCGCCTCCCACCAGCTCGAGGACTCTGGCGACGACGGGTACGAGTACTTCTCCTTCGACTCGGCAGGTCTCTCGGCCCACGACCGCCGGCGCGCAAATGCCCCTCAGCCTCCCATCAACATCCGCCTCGAGTCCTCGGGCTACGCAAAGTTCCGCCACATGCCTCTGCGCCAGAGCGTGGACATGCCACGGACATCGACGACAACTGCTCCCCCTTTTGCAAACTCGGAAGACGCACTCAACCACCTGCAACAGCAACAGCAGCAGCAGCAGCAGTCTCCCGAGGGTGGCTTCTCACGGCAAGTCGTCATGTCCTACGCCAAATCCTGGTCCTCCAATATTCGCGAAAAGTTCAGCTCCCGGTCACGGTCAGGCAGCTTGATGGACGAAGGCGACTCAGTCCCCTTTGGTTCACCGCCAGCGAGGTCTACTCACCGCCACTCACGCCAGTTGAGCGCACACTCGACGGGCTCCGTCTCTTCTAACGGAAGCGACTCGGGGCCCATCATCACCCAGCCGGGCCACGGTCTCCGGCCTCAGGGTTATGTGTTTGTCTCGCCCTGGGACGGCCGCTGCGAGTTCCGTACGGGGAACGCCGGGCGTAGTGTCAAGTGCAGACACGTCCTCCCCACGGCCGGCGGACTGAGCAACCCGCTCGCGCCATCGAGTTCGTCGTCGTACTCGGCCAGCGTGAGCGAGTTGCGGTTTAACTTGCCCAGCACGGAGATTTTTAAACAGGAGGGCAAGAGAGAGCAGCTGAGCGGGCACTTTAGCCGGCTTCTCAACGTCGGCAACCGAACCGGTGAGTATAGCGACGATGACGAGCCGCCTAGCCCGTTTGATCTGAAGCTCGGCAAGGAGAGGGCCGGGGGCGGCAACAGGGGGAAGAGGGCCAAGTTGGGCAAGCTGATTATCTACCCCGAGGGGCTGAAGATGTTGGATCTAGTCGTGGCCGCAAACATGGGTGTTTGGTGGGGTGCTTGGGAGAAGACGTTTTGATGATGATGAGATTTGCGTAGAGGCGTAGGGATGTAAAGGACGTGGCCATGTCTATGATGAAGAAGACGTTGAAAGAAAGGATATCCTCACGGTATCAAGCCGGGGAACCACAAAAGAAACGGAAGCATGTCATTTCAAAGGTCGCTGGCGTTGCTGAAGTTTGGCCCATGATATCAGAGCAAGGCGTTGGTTGGATTGCGTCTTGTCGCCATGAATGTCAACCCACGAGGTCACGCGTGATGAACAACACTTGGTAGAGAGACATTTGTTTATAAAGCTGCACTAATAATCATCTTCTCGAAATTCAACCTAAACGCCCCGTCCCAACGTGATGCGGATCTACATGACATACATGAAGAAGAAAATGATGTGAAACGCAATGACATTCTCGACGTGATGCCTTTTGCGACACCATCACACAAGATCGGGGGCGACGGTGGTCAACAGACAAAGAAAAAGGGTTGCTTTTCGCGAGAGAGATATTTACACAAGTCTAACCGACCCCGACCTGTCTGTAGAAATACACAACATGCCAAGATCACTGCTGCCGCGGCCCTTCATTGTCCTGCGGCCGTCGTCCCCTCGCGTCCGCCTCGATGTGTCCATCCTTTAGGCATTAAAGTTGCAAAAAGGCAAAAAGAAAAAGGTGTGATTCCTCGACTTCTCGCTCTTCACCACGACCGTCCCCACCAAGCCCTCGACCAGAGAAATTTCTTTCCTTCTTTCTTTCGTGAAGGTGAAGAAACCCAATCTTATCTGTAAGGGGCATCGGCACGGATAACGGCAGCCAGCTCGGGCTCCCACTTGTCACCGTTGGACAGCAGCTTCTCCTTGTTGTACAGCAACTCCTCGCGGGTCTCGGTGGCGTACTCGGCGTTGGGGGATTCGACGATGGCGTCGACGGGGCACGACTCTTGGCAGAAACCACAGTAGATGCACTTGGTCATGTCGATATCGTACTTTGTGGTGCGACGAGAGCCATCGGCGCGCTCTTCGGCCTCGATGGTGATGGCCTGGGCAGGGCAAATGGCCTCGCAAAGTTTGCAGGCGATACAGCGCTCCTCACCGGAAGGGTAGCGGCGGAGGGCGTGCTCGCCACGGAAGCGGGGGGAGATGGGACCCTAAAGAGAAATTCCTGTTAGCCGGCTTGCTCTCCGATGTGCCTGTTCTGTCGCAAGCAGTAGTCCCCTCTTCGTCATTCTGTGTTCGTGGTTTCGTGCGCGGTGACAGCGGGCGATGCGTGGCCTCTTCATCTCGGCAATGGTCCGGCTCTTCCTGCGTTTCCCCGTATGGGCCACCCCATTATCCACCTCTGATGCTCAATTCCTCCATTATGTCTTCCGGTATGGTCGCCAATGTCGAGAAAAATGGGTTGCTCACCTTCTCAAAGGGGTAGTAAATGGTGTAGGGCGGGCGGAAGAACTGCTCCATCAAGATGTACATTCCTCTGGCCATCTCGGACAGCAGGAAATAACGACCAAGCTTGTTCAATGTGGACTCCTGGTCCTCGTCCCAGGTCTGGTGTCTCTTCATGCGAAAGTTGGCAGGCGGGGGACCGGCGGGCGTGGCGTAGGTGCGCATGGCGTTGGCAGCCATCAATCTGCCGACGTGCTGCATGGCAACCGACGAATTTCTCGCGACCGGCCTCGTTGACGCCAGGGCCAACATGGTGAAGGGAAGCTGGGCCGCGGGAGGCATTGTGCTATGGGTTTTCCTCGAGGAAGAAAAGAGATGCGTCGGCGCCAATTGACCGGGCAAATTGGAAGGGGGGTTTCCGGGGTCGGATCGAGGAGGGTTGACGACGAACGGGGGGAGGGGCGAGGATACGGCGTGTGGTGAGGGAGCAGGATGTTCCGGGGCGGCGTTGAGAGAGAGAGCTTGACGTTATGGACAATTCGGGGCCATCCGCAGAGGGCGCGAGCTTTGGTGCGGGATTACAAAGGGCGGCAATTGATTGGCTGTGGGTGGATCACGTGGTCTGGTCGGGATTGGGGAGGAAACGGAAGAAAAGCTCCTCAGACTCGACGATGACGGCTTCACTCACCGGCGCAAGTCAATTGATGTTGTAAAATTTCATGAGAACATCTCAATGTGTTTATAGTTATTTCTGAGAACTTTTATTCAACCCTCTCCATCTGGTCTGGTGATGCATCAAAGTGAAGATATCTCCAAAGGTCACATGACTAAGCACGTGCACCTCCCAAAGAGCAAAGGTAGCCAAGGGACACCTCGGGGGGTGACGAGAAATTTATCATCATCACTGGCAACCTCGCAGCACCCGAAAGCTCCCATCAAATCCCAGCTGTAGCCGTCAACCAACCGATCCTCCCATCTCCCCCATCCCGATCCCAACTCCAATCGTCAGAGCTCCCGAACGTCTCGCCTCTCTCACATCCAAACACATAACCTCAAAATGTTCCGCACAGCAGTCCTCCGTTCCGCGGCCGCCGCCACGCGCGCCATCCGTCCCGCCGTCCAGCAGTCCGCTCCCCTCGCCCGGAGATCCCTCGTCGCGCCCCAAGCTGCCTTCCGCGCCGCTCCCAAGGCCATTTCCGTTCGCATGTACTCTGCCGCCACCGGCCTGAACAAGCAGGAGGTTGAGGGCCGCATCTTTGCTCTGCTCCAGGGTTTCGACAAGGTCAACGACCCGGCCAACGTACGTCACCTCACTTCCTTCGCACTTCGCTCTTCGCCCTTCTCTCTCGCTCTCCCCAAACCTTGCCAGCATCTATCTACTTACCTACCTCCCAACCGCATCAATTGAGATGCGCTTCCATTCTTAGCAAGAACAGTTGAGCTGACCATAGTCTGTCCGCCAATGTAGATCAAGTCCAACGCCCACTTCGCCAACGACCTCGGCTTGGACAGCTTGGACACCGTCGAGGTTGTCATGGCCATTGAGGAGGAGTTCAGCATTGAGATTCCCGACAAGGACGCCGACACCATCCACTCAAGTATGCTCTCCACATGCAGCCCTTACCATCTTGAGTAGTTCAAGTACTAATCTACCATCTACAGTCGACAAGGCGGTCGAGTACATTGTTAGCCAGCCCGATGCCCACTAAATATCCCCATCCCATTCCTCCACTGAATCCGTCTCCCCGGCGGTCTGTACAATAATCTGCCCTCCCCGGGGCATCTCGACCACGCCACTCGCAACTAGAACGGGAGGGAAACGAAAGACGCTGCGTCTGTGCTCTTGAGGAACTCTTTGTTTTCGGGATTTGGGGGCCAAAAAAGAGGGACGGAGAGAGAGAGAGAGAGAGCGCGAGAGGCATACCGGCTTATCTTTGTGGGTGGACGGTTTCGTACCATAGCCCACGGCGCGGCCTCCGCGCCAAAACGGCATGCCGACATGATCTGGAGTTGGACATTCTCTGGGCCCTGTTGACGTTTGCCTTGTATTAGTGTATAGATTTTCGTCACCCATTGGCGGGTTTTTCGTCGTGACTGTTCACCTTACTTTTGCGTCCGTCCCAGCCGTCTGTCAACTCAATCCGCTTGGTCTCCGCAGTCTTCAAGAGGGTATCGGAATAGCTCGGGATCGTCAGATACAGCGGGCGGAATGCAGGCCGGCCGAGTGCTCACCCGAGCTTACCACGGCAAAAGTCAAACCGTGTTGTGTTTATTACGCAAACAAAAGGTGTCACACGTATTGCCTCGAAACTATGGTGCATTAAATTCAACAACAGATAATAATACCATTCGTACGGCCAATGCCAGTCTCTCAGAAAATCAGCTTTTATATAATGAACGAAAATTAGACGGTGGTATCTGCTTTTCCTCTTCCAGGCGTCTCTAATGCGGTGCCATGTCACGCAGCCAGTCGACCTGTGACTTTTGTGCCAGCCAAAGCCAGTTTTTTTTTCCTAGGTCATTTGTTACCTCCTCTAGCCAAGGATCACAAGTTAATGCCATCCTCTGCTTGACGTATCCAGCATTCCCCTGCCTGACCCAAGCATTGAGAGGCTACACTTCACCTAGCGCGCAAGGCGAAGGAAACCACCAGTCCCAGAACTTTGACAGTGGATTCTCCATGTTTGCAAGGCCATCATCCTATGTTCAGCCAGTTTGGTAGTATTAATCCTCCAATATTCAATCCTCAAAAGCCAAAAGCGACTCGGCATCGACAAAAACTCCAACAAACTCCCTATCCTGTTGTATAAGCAAGCCACCGTGTAGATCCGATCCCTTACTCGTGTCCCATTGATTTTGTAGACCGGTTGAATTTTTCGTTTTCCGTTTGGCTTTTGCCCATGCATGCTGTGAAAATCGTGGCTGAAATATGTATTTGTTGTGTGTGTGTGTGTGTCGTAGAGTGTCGTCAGGGTGTAAATGTCGAGAGCTATGAAACAAATGCCACTGGAAACGCGACACTTTGCAAGGCTGTCGCTATGCTTACTCTAGTTGCCGGTGTTTTGAAAACTTCCTTCGTCCCGCCATGAAGCATAGCTAGCAATCAACGCCCGCCAACGGTCTCAACGCTGACCGATGGCTCTCGCTGTTCCTTGGCCAAACCGGAACCGGAGGTGGCACCTTTGTTGGACAGAGCGTTGGCGTAGCTCCATCCACCACCACCGATGCCAAAACCGGCCGAGCCACGCTTCCGGAGCCGTGCCGACGACTGATCTTCCTCCTCCTCCATGTTGAACACAAAGGCAGGATCCTCCTCGTCGATGGGCGTCGTGTATCGTCCCGTCACGGAGGAACTGATGGAGCCACTGGAGACGTGACGCTCCATCGCGCGGTCCCGTTCCTTGCCAATGGGCCCAGCACCGTTGTTGCTCGGGGCTCGGCCCGTTGCCGCCAAAGGATGCAAGTGGGGGCTGCTGCTTCCGTCGTCACCCAGCCGTGTGCGCTGAAGCTGTTGTGTGAGTGCCGACATGGTCTCGCTGCCGGCACGGGAGCCGATTGGCCGGGCCATGGCACTGCCGTGACCCATCTCGTTCGAGAGCACCGAGTTTCGGAGGGGGCTTCCAACATGTCCAAACACCGACGGTCCATGCTTGTGGCCAAGCTCTTCTTCCTTCTGGCGCTGGAATAGCGGGCCCCACCTGCTCGGGCTCGCGCCGCCGATGGGGCTGCCAAACTTGGTGCCGTTCTCGCTGCCCGGCTCACTGTCAACAGTGCGCAAAGATCCGCGACGGGCCTTCTCAGTCGGCGTCAAGAGATCCTGCAAGTTGGACGGCACACAATCCTCCTCCAAGAACCCGAAATTGGCCTCCCAATCGTGATCGACGGCGGATGTCTTGGGCATGCTCGAGCTGAGCATCTTTGGCTTTGCGTATCGGCTCGAATGCATGGCTCGCTTGCCAAAGTATTCCTCGGGCTGACCAGGGGGGCTGCTGGAAGCGGTCACGTTTGCCGCAGCAAGATACTCACTGCCACCGAATGCCGAGGTGTGGAGCATCTTGAGAGTTTCGGAAGTTCGGGAATCTTTGGCGTTGCTCAGAGAGGGCGAGGGCGACTCGATGCCGAATTTGGAAGGGACGGACGAAGGCCACGGCGCAGCGGGGAATCGGGCGGCATTAGACATGCCCTGCGAGTCAAAGGATGCCGGGAGTGGCGCGTCCAGTACTGACAGTCCGTTGGCATTCACAGGAGACAAGCCGAGGCCGAATCTAGAAGCATCGTCATCGCGGGGCGAGCCGTAGTTGGAACCGGGGTGGGAATAGGTGGTATCGATCGTAGGCAGGCCGCTTTCGAGGCTAGGCTGGCGACCCAGTGATTGTTGTCTCTCGTCACCGCCGTAAGGGTATGCCGATGTATAGGGAGGGACGCCTTCGCGGTATAAGCCAGAGGTGAGAGCACTGGTTGGGTGGTAGTTGGAGGCTGCTGTGGGATTAATTCGTCCGCCGAGGGCTATCGGAGAATTGCCAATCGTGACACCATTCTTGCCATAGTTAATTCGCCGGCCGTCGGGGAGAACGTGGATGTTTGCGCATTTGGGACCGAATTTGCAGTTGCCCTGTCATCAAATCAACCACATTAGCACTCTCTCTTGTCCGTGTCGCTCCACGCTCAGTGACCAAAACAGCGCAGATGATGGTATAGTAGGCAGGGGTTGCTAGGATGCGAGGGGCACGGGCTCGAGAGTGGGATGTGTCGGGTGGTCTGTGTAGCCGAGGGGTAATAGTAGAGCAGAGCAACGCAACCCGACAGTATGGAGGGGTGGAACACATGAGGATGAGGGAGTTGTCGCGAAGCAGCCCGGCCGAGGAAGAGAAATGACGCACCTTTGCAAAGTACTTGCAGATGTTCTCGGCGGCCGAGCCTAAATCGTGACTGAAGGGGCAAGCATTGCCGGCTTGACAGGCTCCTTGACGGAAGAATTTGCAGGGAACGTGGGAAGTATCTGTAGCGCAATAGAAGAGATAAGTCAGCCGGAGATGAAGTTCTTGATGCAGGACAGAACAGAGACAGAGGGGCAATCGCCGGTTGCTCCAGGACGGGTGCGGTGCGACGTGTTGCAGACGACACCACCGGCGGGAGGGAAGACGAGGCGACCACCATGCCGACGAGCTTCAGCGGCGTGCCTTCGTAGCAGAGCCGACGTGAGACAGCGACGGGCATTGGCGACATCGGAAGCGAAGCGGGGAGAGACAGACAGAGAGAGAGAAAAAGGGAATAGATGCAGAGGAATACGACGATGGAGAGAAGGAGGAGTAGAGGCAGAGAGAGAGAGGCAAGGTGACGTACTCGGTGGACTGCGCGGGCCATCGAATCTGGCAGCGGAAGCGGTAGATGCGTTGGAGGCCATTGGGCTCAGGATAGGACTGGGATGGCCATTCTGTTGTTGGATGTTGAGACTGTTACTTCGCATATGGCGATATTCGGAGCCGTTGGTCGAAGGCATTTTGGCTGGACGAGGAGGGGAGGTGGAGGAAGTGTGGAGGGGGAGATTCAAGGACGAGGAGGAAGAGGAGGGAAAAAAGAGGGGCTAAGTGGAAGAGGCGGGAAGGACGCAGGCGCAGATAGCGGAGGAGGGAAGAGCGCGGGAGCTGCGGGCGCTGCGGCTTCAGTGGGCAGAGAGCGCTGTGGACTCGCCGAGGGGCCCCAGTTGCAGGGCAGCGAGCGGGCTGCTTTCGCCGGCCGGAGACGGTGGGGGGCACTTCACTTTCACTCACTCACTGAGTGGAGGTCACTGAGGTCACTAAGGTCGAGTGCTCTCAATGAGATGAGGTCAACAGGTGACCAGTGGTGACCAGTGATGGTAAGCACTGCGATTGAAACCGGTCCAAGCCGCACGGGGTAGGTATGCTGTATCGAGTATGCGTAGCTTATGGCCTGGCGATAGTGTAGGCCAGATATGAGAGAGAATTAACTGAGGTGAGAGGTGAGAGGTGAGGCGACAACGCGAGCTCTCCAGGTCTTCTTGGTTCGATGTCTTGGTCCCTGAGGATCACGCAGCAGTCCAGGCCCAGTCCACACGGTCGGTACCTGAGGTGGGCAGAAAGACAGCAATGGCGGCGGCCTTGGAGAAGCGAGTGGTGTGCGACGTGAGAACGGGCAAGAAGCTAATAGTAATCGTGTGTGTGTGATGGAGGTGTGTGTATGTGTGTGAGGCGGAATGTGTGAGGTGTGAGATGTAAGGTGTTAGGGATGAGGTGTGAGGTGTGAGGTGCGAGGTGCGACAAGGATGCTGTGCGGGCGGCAAAAGCGGTGCGCCTCGGTCAGATGCGGTTTGCAAAGGTGAAGGACGATGAGAGCGTGTGAGCGAATGTTGTGGTTGATGAGGATGTGTGATGAATGTTGCAATCTGCTCCACTCTGATCGGGAATAACTCAGGTCAACAGGGACAGCGGCAATGGGAATGATTACCTAGCACGCTGAGCGTTGCTTAGGTGAGGTGATTGAGTGAGTGAGTGAGCAGCAAGAACACTGGAGGGGGGTATCCCGGTGTCTGGTGCTGAAGCCGAGCTGCGTCCGTCGTCGTCTCGAGTCAGGATTCCGTCGTCGGTATCTCCAATGGAGAACCTTGGTGGAAAGGCTGCTGCCGACCTTGCCTTGAGGATCCGTAAGATGTCAAGGTCCAGTAGTGAGTATCGTCTGCAAGGTGAGAGACCGGCGACGATGCTACCGGGCCAGAGGTGCTAGGTAAGGACTATTGTAAGAGTCGGACGCTGGAGCACGCGATGGAGGGGAAATTCCAAGTGGGACAGGAGGCGGCGGGGCGCGGCGGTGGTCTCGGTAGCGTTATGTAGCGTAACGCAAAGGTAGGGTCCGTCTTTCTTTTCTCTGCCCGAGTGTGCAATGATGGCGCCAGTGATGGTCTCGATGATAGGGAGTCGATCCAAAGGGTGATCTGACGCGCTCTTGCACGGAGTATCCTGCACAGATATGCGGCTGGATGAGAAGGGGTTAAGAGGGGGCGACCAGACAGATATAGCTGAGGGATCCGGAGGTAAGGTAAGGTGAGGTAAGGTAAGGTATCAAGATAAGATGGAGGGGGTTTGCAGTGCCAGGCTTACGGGATTTCGGTACGGGTGACGCGAGTGAAGTGGAACAAGCAAAGAGGAAATAGTAATAGTGAACACAGTGAATGGTCCGTGACCAGAGAGTCAAAGTTGATTCAGGTCGAGCGAGGGTCGATGTTCGAGGTTCTATGCTCAGAGTCGCAACTGGGGTCGGTGATGGCGGAAGCTGATACCAAGATACCGCCAGATGACCCAATCGGCGAATCAGATGTTCGGCCCTCTCTGGAGCCTTGACCTGGGAGGTTGGAGATTAGATCAACTGGACCAGACAGCTTCAACGTGCCAGGATCTTGCTGGAGGACGGAGAGGCGAGTAACTCGCGGCTGGCAGAACGTAACCAAGATTATGTACGTACCTCGAAGGAGCAAGTGCTAAGCTGCAAGACCTAGTAGGTAAACTCCAGAAGCAGTGACGATGTGCTGATGGGTGTTTCTCTCCATGTGCTACCGAGTAGTTTTGTAGCGAACAGGAGGGAGGGATATTGTCCCAGCGGGCGTTGAAGCGGGGGTCAAGTTGTCAAGGAGGCGATGTCAATCCCAGCTATCCGTTGCGGCAAAGGTTCAGTATCCAGATAAAGCACTGCCGATGCTCAGGGGTCATCTTTCAGGCCTGGCGGACCGTGGCGCTTCACTCGGAGCGGTGGAGGGTTCAGTAAGCAATCGACCGTGTTGATGCTCTCTGGTGAGCTGGTTGGAGGCTGGAGCTTTGGTTTCCTCTTACTCCCAAAAGGGCTTTGAGATGGGGTGAGGCGCGGGCAGCCAACTTTGAAGCCGCTAAGCTAGGCAGCTTCAAGAGACGGCGTTGCTCCTATTAATAATGAGATTCAGATGGTGCGAAGGGCGAGAGGAATGGGACCGTGGGACTGAAGGATGGATGCCTTCTAACGGCAGACTCGGAATCACCCACCCTCATATACCCATCTCACTACATACCGACCTCTCTCTCTCACTTTGAGCCGAGTAAAAAGTACAAGCAAACAGCAAAACAACACCTTCATGGACATGCCGGCAGCATCAAGCACAGTTCCAAAGCAGCACCATCTTTTCATGCTCGCCTCATACTAAGTAACATACTTAGTAACATACTAAGTAATGTAGGTCTCGCTTCACAACAGTACGCCCACGATACCTCGCTTCTATTGAAGCGAGGTAGTCCAGCCCTTCATCCCCAGCAAGTTATACACTCCTCTCAGTATCCCAACCATACGCAACCGTATCCATATGCCGTATCTGCCGTAGGCATCTACATCAAGGGTATCTGACGAACACGCCTTCACCCCCTTCTTCGCTTCACCCATGCTGCCATCCATTTTGCTGCACTCCTCCTCCCCTCTTCCAACCCCATGTTCATATCCATATCCACGCCAAGCCACGCCCGAACGCCGTGTTAGTCGAGCCTCACTCCTCGCACCCCAAGACATTCACCTTGTTTCTCGTACGAGCAAACATTTGATCCCTTCCCTCTTCGACTCTTCAAGCCTGCAGAGACACACACGGGTACGCACCCACCACACCTAATGTTCAAATGTCTTTACTTCATTTCTTGTCGTCGTCAACCCCCCCTTCACTACCATCCGTTCAGAAGGCAGGTGGCGTGCCTCCATCACGCGGCGACCCCATGATGCACTCATTCTCTACTCCGTACCCCTCAGCCACCCATCTTGACCAGGTCAAGACATTTAGGCTCACCGTCACGGAGGGGTCCAACAAGGGGGCCACTTCTCAATGATACATACACTTGTAAGAATGAATGGGGAAAGGATACGGTGTGAAGTGCAGTCAGCCGTGCGGGAGGAGTGTGGTTGGAAATACCGGTTCCCTTCTCGACACATGCCGCACCTCCCAACACCGCTGTGCGTCGGGAGGAGGCGAGCCAGGGTGCCAGAAGCGGGTGTCAGTGTTGGATGGATCATGAGCCGTGGGATCGCCAACCACTCATGCCCACCCACACCAGGGTTGCTGCCGCTTTGCTACATACCGGTCGTCTTGAAGCGTGAAGTACCAGCGAAATCTTGTAGACACACGCAGCTTTCGAGGTTTCTCTGGAGATTTTCAAAGGCGATCGGGAAGAGCCTATACCGCATGCCTCGTCTCATCTCACTCAGTCTTCATATGAGATTTTCATGAGTTCCACCTTCGTTCTCAGCAAGTTCTACATCAATAATCCGTCGCACGTTTGTCATTGATGGTGAGGCCATCTGCTGCACTAAGCACCCGTGTCACAGTAGCAACCAGCATGCTGGGACCCTTTTCAGGCGCCTGGCGCCCTGTGCGACATCTTGACCATTGGACCCTCAGCAAACATTTGTCTGCTTGCCTCGTGTTTTCACACCTGCGTTGACTCAACTCACTCGTATCGATGAGCGTCTCAGTCGATGATGTGCATCTTGGATTCGCATCTCAGATGTTCGACGCATTGGGGTCGTATTTGAGTTCCGAGACCTCAAATGGCGGGAATATTCGATATCAGAGTCCGTCAATAACATCATCGGCACCAATCATGATCCATGCCGAGGAACCCCTAAAGCCGCCCGTGTCTCTCAATAACTTGCTTTTTCTCATCTCTCTGATCTTGCATCGTAGGGTTCATTCAATGCCCATGGCAAACCCGAAGAGGCCTGCCCAGTGTCTCGCCTATCTCGAGCCCATCTAGCATCACGGGTCTTGGTCTTTGACCTGCTGCGTTACTACCTTACCCTTTAACTACAGAACGACGTCTCGTCCCAAGGACACAGAGAGTTACATCAAAGCCGTCACTCGACAATCTTGACTCGTCAGTCAGACGAGAGAAAAGCAACTGGGAATGGCCATGGCAGTTCAACTGCGACCTGCTCCCTACAAGCTTAACCTGCCATGTCGGGCAAGGCGCGGGGCCGCGCGCGAGTCGTCGCCGCTCCAGGGTTGCAGCTGTGCGACATCAAACGCAACCCGACGCGATGAATCCCACCCCACGCACACACACACCCGCATGCTGCTCGTGCTACGCAGTATTAGAGTCTGTTTACGCATGCAGCCGCTCGACGGGGAATACCTCAGTGCCCAGTGTCTGGAAAGACACACAGACGAGAGAGAAGGGCAGAGACAAGACTATGCTAGACGAGCAAGATAGGGTTGATCGCTGCAGCAAAGCTCAACGAGTAAGAAGTAGCAAGTAATGAATATGTACGGATACGTCAAGTAGCAATGTAGTTGGTAATTGTTAGTTACCCCAAGGCCATGCGAGACCGGCGCATTGCTCAGTCCGATCGTTGTCTTGGCTCCCTCCCGCCCTGTTCGTGCGAACTGATCCGGTTGTTCTTCTTACATTTCAACACCCCCCACGCCGACCATGGACCGTTCGGTGTTTGTTACTCTTCACCAACCCGGTGGCTTTCAAAGACTTCACCTCGCGATGTCACAGTGTCTTCTCAGCATCGCAAAGTCCTAGTGACCTTGCCCAGCCCGATTCCCGGCCAACGGCGTCTTCAGCTTGCGACGGACGCATGTCTCTCTTGTAATATCAGAGAGCGTGGTAGGTATCAAGCAGCCCGGCGAGTTTCTGTCAAACCCACAGACATACATATCCCTTCTTTGCTGCCTACCTATTTGCATGATGACCATTCTTGACAAGTTGACACTCCCGTCCGCCAACCTCTGCCATCTGGCTGGCTCGCCTCGCAGGGGTTCAGCTGCCGAGACAACGACACCTCCAGCAAGTGGCTAGATGCGGTTTTTGTCATCTTTGCCCCGGCCGGCAGTGTCCCATTGCCTCTCTTTTCTCAAGGATTTGTTGCTCATCGGACAGTTTTCCCAGGCCTGTTTCTCCTCCGCGGCGGTCCATCCGAATCCTTTCTGCCCCAGTCAAACCTGCATCTGCCTCCTCTTTGAGACCCCGTTGCAGTTTGGGCCAGTAGCCACCCGTCTCGCCGGCTCCTTTTGGGACAAGGTCAGCATTATGCAGCTACCCGACGAGAGTCGCCTTCTTTCGGTGAACTGCATCAGCCATGCCTGGCTCAACCCGATGACGCCAGCCATATCTGGGCCTTGGGGGTAGATGGCAGCGCAACGCAGCGCCCCAGCAGCAGCAGCAGCAGCAGCAAGCCACCTTCTGTCCCCTCCATCGTCGGCTCCCCTCGAACCCGCGTTGATTGCGAGCCAAGACGAAATCGTACCTGTCGTGCTTTCTCGCACAAGCTCAACCCCGTGGGCGCACAGTCACATCGTACAAAGATGCCCGGGAAAGGTCCGATGCTGCAGGGAGGCTGCTACGCCAACGTCGTTCAACTTCCTGTCAAACCATCATACTCCGTAAACAGTATGGGTTTTCACTCACCTCCCCTACCCCTTCGTCGTCGCAATCGCTTCATGGATAAGGGTAGCTTGAACCTTGACCTTGAAGCTCGCAAGGCTCGTCCACCTCTCCGCGCGGCCCGCCGTCCGCCATCGTCCACGCTGATCCCTGCATCGACCAGGTTTGCCCGCTTGTCCTTTTCCTTTCTTTGCCCCCCAAGATACCCTAGGGACTTTACTCAACACCTGCGGATACGGATTCATCCTCCAAGCTTTGCAGCTCGCTGCTCGCGTGAAACATCCCAGTAGAGCCCGCATCTTCTAATGGGGAGCTCCATGTCGTCTGAACCACGGTATGCTCTTTAAAGACTGGCGGGGCCAAACGCGAAAGACCGGCGCATCGCGCGTCTACGCCTAAAAATGAAATGGGAAAGCTACATGTCTCCATACCTTTAGTAACTAACACCTTGGCTCTGCCATCATTCTTGACATGTTCTTGACACTCCTCGCACTCCGAACAAGCTCGGTATTCCAAATCAGACGTGATGCCTCTATAGACACATCAAATCATGAATCATGGACGGCCCAAAACGACTCTCCTGGTGACTTGAACGGTTACGCACCCTCCCTCTCACTTTTCTCTCACTCTCTCCCCGACTGGCGAATCACTCTCATCAGCTCACCGCCTCTGACCTCTGTTTCACGCACACAGTCGTCCATATCCAAGTAAACCAAGTTCTCACTCGGCACCACTAGCTGCCTCGTCATTGCTCCATCAACATTCCCGGGTCAAGCCACACTCTTCCCGGTCTGGACCAGTGAATCCCTTTTCGCCCTAGTCCACCACTGTTTCTAGACCTTGCAGGCACTCAAAGACTCATAGTGCTCGGACCCCAGCGCAGCAAGGATGTAAGGGTTCTCATTCCCTACGCCGATCTCTCCTCAGCCTCTCCGCCGTTTGCTCTTGACGACTTCACGGCCAACCCCCACCCTCCATCACGACCCCCCCTCCTTCAATACCTAGGTCGATTTCTCAACTTGTCCGCCCGTTCCGTTCACCCCATCACATCAATACCATGTTCACCGGCTACACCCACTCACATTTCTTACCATGCATTCCCCAATCGACCAAATCAAACGGTGGTCAGTTCCCTGCTCCAACTGTGGCGTCACGTCGAGTGGCTGAACTCTCATGAACTTCCCAGCTGGTCCACTGCCATGTTCAGGTGTTGTCCGACTGGCCGACTTTTTGTCGCTAGCATCGGACGGCTATGTATGCGACCGGTGTTACTCGCAGCAGTTCGCAGCTCGAATCCCAGTCGCTTGCCTGGAGAAGCCTACAAAATGTCCGCCTATTTCTTAGTGAGAAGCACGCCGAGCAAACATGACAGGAAATGGCAGATGTCCTTGGCATAAAGCGCTTACGTTCACTCATCTGTCCGATTTGGCACGAAAGGGCGGTCATCGTGGCGGCCGCATGAGAAAGAAGTCAGACAAATCACTGCTAGTCTCCGCTCACCCTTCCCGATCCTTCACACCATCATGTACGTCCTCCAACACCCCACTCCCAGTCCTCTCTCAATGAAGTTG